TTCATTTGGGGAATATAAAAAATAGTGAAAGGGAATAAAGGGGAAAGAAGAGAAAATGAGTGGGAAATATCAGGGTGACTGAAAATGAGAGACTCCTAACTCTGGGAAACAAACAAGGAGTAGTGGAAAGGGAGGTGGGCAGGGGTTGGGGTGACTGGGCGACGGGCACTGAGGGGGCCACTTGACAGGATGAACACTGGGTGTTATGCTATATGTTGGCAAATCAAACTCCAATCAGGCAAAACTTATCTATGGTGTGAGAAGTCCGAATAGTAGCTCTCTTTGGGAATGGGATAACAGTGGCTGGACCAGGTCTTCTGTGATTAGAGGTATTGTTTCTTCACTTTGGAGTTAGTTACACAAACATGTTCACTTTGTGAAAAATTATTGAGCTCTGTCTACAGTTATAATTTGGGCATTTTTCAGAATTTCTTATTGGGTGTATGTATGTTTATATATCAATAACATTTATCAAAAACAATAAAGCAACAGTAAATTTACAACATGAACATTAAATATGGGAGATACCTAACTTGGCATTTATTCCTGCAATTATTTATTGAAATTCACTTTGTACCTGGTACTGTGTTTGATTTTAGTGATGCAGTGGTAAATGCTATAGGTTGAAACGTGTCCTCCCCAAATTCCCATGTTGCAGCCCTAATCCCCAGTCCTCATTATGTGCCCCTATTTGGAAATAGGGTCTTTACAGAACTCATCAAGTAAAAAGCGGTCATGAGGGTGGGCCCTCCTCCCATATGACTGGTATCCTTATAAGAAGAGGAAATTTGGACACAGACATGCATAAAGGAAAGATGATACAAGGGACAGAAGATGGCCACCTATAAGACAAGGAGAGAGGCAGAGGCCTGCAACAGATCCCTCCCTTACAATCTTTCTAAGGAACCAGCCCTACGGACATCTTGCTCTCAGACTCACAGCCTTCAGAACTGTGAGACAATACATTTCCAGCTGTTAAACCACTCAGTGTACTTTGTTTTAGCAGCCCAGAAAACTAATACAGTAACCCTCCCCCATTTCCCACACCCTCAAAAGATAATGTCCTTGCCCTCAATTAAAAGTATTGTCCCTGACCACAGCCAAGATAGCAATAAAGGCAGGTTGTAAAAGGGAAATTTAGCATAATTAAGGAAGTCATGAAAGCCTTCCCTGAGGAAGTTTGAACTAAGCTAAGAATTGAAGTAAAAGAAATTGTTGAAGAGGTAAAAACAGAGGGATTAGCCTCTGGGTAAAAGGAATAGCTACTGGGTGGCTAGTAGGTTAAGTGTCTGACTCTTGCTTTCAGTTTAGATCATGATCTCAGGGTCGTGGGATCAAGCCTAGGTAGGGCTCCCTGTGCTCAGCGGGGAATCTGCTTGACGATCTCTCCTCCCTCTGCCCCTCTCCCTGCTCACACACACCTACCACTTTTAGACAACAGGCTTGAGCAAAGGAATGTAGAAAGAGCCCACAGCAACCCCCTGGCTGAACACAGAAAGGCCCATCGGCGACCCACATCAAAATATCCATAGGCCATAACTGACCAATGGGCCATTTACAACCAGGCAGAGTTACCAAAAAAGAGAAGATTCCATAGGTCACCACACCGCCTCACCCTCCTGCTTTAAATACAGGCCACCACCCACTGCCTTGTTGCAGACAGTCTCTCCACCGTGCACAGTCCATCGTCCTGCCAGTGGCTCCCTTGCAGTGTATTCAGTAAACTGCTATTTCCTGCTGAATCCTTTCACCGCTGGCAGCAGCAACAGCTTCTTCCCGACAATCACCCCATATTTGAGGGTCCCCATCTAATCAGGAGATAACACATTTAGTCACCGTACCTTACAAGAGGAACAAAAAAGAAGCACACACTGGGTTGGAAGAAAGTGAGGAGTATAGTAGGAGAGAGGCTGGAGAGGCAGCAGGAATCCTGATCATGCAGGCCATGTTAGGGATTTTGAACTTTATCTCAAAAAGCAGTGAGACAACCGCTGAGTATGTCAATATAGTAAAATGTGAAGTACTCAACATACCTATAAGTATCCTTACCCAAATAGCTGAACCTAATCTAGTCAAGTTTTTAGAAATAACTTCCATTTATAGGAAATATGGGAAATAGAAGAACAAATTAAGTAATACCATAAAGACAAATACCAATCAGACAAATCTAGAATGTGGAATATTCCTAGTAACAACCGGCCAGTCCAACCAGTCAATGGCAAAAGGGGGAAAAAAAGGTGGGGGGAGAGGAGGAGGCATAACTCTAGTTGTGGAGACACAACTAAACAGAACACATGAAACTTGTTTAGATTCTTATTAGAACAATTCAACTATGAAAAGACATTTTTAAGCAACCGGTGAAATTTGAATATGGACTGGATATTAGATGGTACTAAGAAATTATTGTTAATTATTTTTAAAAGTATGCTGTGTCTTGGAGTTCCTCAGTGGCTCAATTAAGCATCTGCCTTTGGCTCAGGTTACGGTCTCAGAGTCCTGGGATGGAGCCGTGGAGCCCTGACAGCTCCCTGCTCAGCAGGGAATCTGCTTCTCCCTCTGCCTCTTGCCCCTGTTCGTGTGTGCTCACACGCACTCTCTAATAAATAAATAAAATATTTAAAAAAATAAAATAAATACATAAATAACACGCTGTGTCTTTCCACTAAAGCTGTAATCTTGATAGCAGAGATCATCCACAAAAAGAAGTACTCAGTATGTGTTGTTGATTCTAATGCTGAATCTTGGCATTTCAAATGGAGGCAGGTCAGGAGGTACTGGGGAATCATTTGTATCTTTGCAGAATTACAGAATTTTTGAGTTAAACATGACAAGAGGAATTATCTAATCAAAATAAATTCACGAGGAAAAGGACACAAAGCCAGACTGTGGCAGCGCTGGTCTAGCATGCAGGCTCCTGGGCCAAGAGAGCTCAGGATACCATCTCCCAGTGCAGCTCATGGGAGGTTCTGACTGCTTCCACGCCCCATGCAGCTCACAACTCAACCCCTTCTCCTTCCCCCATGTGATTTCATATTCTTGCTCTTCCTCCTAACTCCATCTCCAGACAGTTTAATTTATATTCACTTGACAAGTTTCACATTCCTTGGGAAAACTGCCAAAAGTAATGCTAACAGAGAAGGAATAATAATGAGGGAAGGAAAAATATTTTAAAACCAAAGCGAAATTAACAGTAACAACAACAGCTGCTATTTCAAGCTTTTTCCACATTTATGTTCCTACTTCATTCTCCTGGCTGTCATGGACACACTGTTTTCCTAAAACAATGGACACACACAATAGCTTTGTATTGATCTTACAAGTCTCAAAGAAAGAAAGGTTTTAAGCTGTTGATAGATTAAAAGTCAATGCTGCTAAGGACACCTGGGTGGCTCAGTTGGCTAAGCCTTTAGGCTCACGTTATGATCCCAGAGTTCTGGGATTGATCCCTGCATCGGGTGCCTGCTCAGCTGGGAGCCTGCTTCTCTCTCTGCCTGCCACTTCTGCTTGTGCTCTCTGTCAAATAAATAAAATCTTTTTTTAAAAAAGTCAATGCTGCTAAAAATAAATAAATATCTGTATTACTGTGCTTAGCAATATATGAAAAAAACTGAGAACTCAGCCAGTAGTCTTCTGGACTTATAAGATAAGCCAAGCAACGCTAATATAAACGTGGACAGATAGCTCAATATAGATAATAAGACATGTCAACATATCAAATAATCCAAACAAGGATTTGTATACAAATACAAATGGATACGTGGGATTTAGTAAGTATAAGCCAAGTAGAGGAACATGTATTTCTGAGACCTATTACATAGAAATAACAGTAATCTTCTATGAAATTCCTCCATTATGGTATATACTTCTAGTACACACAGATATGACTAATCCTCATGACAAACCTTTAGAGGAGGTATTACTGCCCATATTTTACAAAAAGGAAGAGGTAAGATCAGAATTTGAATATGAGTTTGTTGATTCCAACTACATATTCTTTCCACTATAGCGTAAAAAATAGAGAATTTAAATTTAGGAGGGGAAAACTCGACTTTTTACTCTGACTCTATCTAATATCAGCTCACTGTAACCATGTTCCATGATCAAGGCTGACATTCTGCTGGTATGGTGTAAGGGCTGAAAGCTGTTAGGATTAGTTTGGTATCTGCTCTGTTTGACTGGCGGTGTCTGTACCATACTGATCACTAAATATTTTGAATATCCTACCTGTCCATGACACAGAACTCTGAGTATTCCATCAAATACTTATTCAGAGATTTGAAATCATTCAAAACCACTTTTCATGACGTATTTTCCATACTACAGGTATCTCAGGTCTACTTCATGCAAAATTTGGCTGGTCTTCTCCCTAAGTAAGAACATGCTAAGATTCCCAACTTTTAGAGTAGAAGCCTAACATCTGTCATTTACATATGCCAAAGCATGGGGCACATCTTTAAATCAGTAGTACAAAATTACTATACTGTAGGTTTTCACAAGTGAGCCCAACCTTGAAATGACATCCTGCCTGTCTTGTTAAAAATCAGTGTTGGGGATCCCTGGGTGGTGCAGCGGTTTGGCGCCTGCCTTTGGCCCAGGGCGCGATCCTGGAGACCCGGGATCGAATCCCACGTCGGGCTCCTGGTGCATGGAGCCTGCTTCTCCCTCTGCCTATGTCTCTGCCTCTCTTTCTCTCTCTCTGTGACTATCATAAATAAATAAAAATTAAAAAAAAAATTAAAAAAAAAATCAGTGTTGAAGCATTTATTATTTGGGAAATCAGTCTGACCAGATACTAATCACACCTTCCTCAGCTCTTGCTATAAAATTAGATAATCAGAAAGGAATATATCCAGACATTAGCCTGGCTGCCCTTGGATAGATGTGCCTAAACTGAGTTTTATACAAAGTTATATTCTGGGATTTTATCAAGATTCAATATCAGAAATGACCATATGGAAAAAAGGAAGCAACAGTATAAATGTTTCAAGGACAAATCTAAATGCCATCATAACAAAAGCAGCGTGGTTTATTTCTGAGAGCTTCATACTTTAGATTTATTTGTAAGTTAGTTATGCCAAAATGGCCAAAAGTTAGTTTGCCCAATGAATACACATAAAATGTCATATAAGCTCCCTCAACTGGTTAAGACATAGAACTACCAAAAAACATGTTCCATTAAGTTAACTGTATTGTCCTCTTCAGAAATTTCTGTAACTCCAGCCTGAGAACGAAGAACGGACGTGATATCACGAGATAATTTGTCAAAGCCATTCTGTAAACATATATTTGCCACTTCTTGCCAGTTTTCGAATGCACAAAATGGATCATTTATCATAAGATGTTCAATTATACCTGAGGGGAAAAATGATAATATTATAGTAGAGCACTTATTCTTATTTGAAAACCCACACTTAGCAATTCTTCAAAAATAGAAAGGGATATCATTTCAACTATTTTTTTAAAGATTTTATTTATTTATTCACGATAGACAGAGAGAGAGAGAGAGAGAGGAGAGAGAGAGGCAGAGACACAGGCAGAGGGAGAAGCAGGTTCCATGCAGGGAGCCCGACGCGGGACTTGATTCCGGGACTCCAGAATCGCGCCCTGGACCAAAGGCAGGCGCCAAACCGCTAAGCCACCCAGGGATCCCCTCAATTCAATTATTAAAGTTATTATTAAACTTGATTCCTAGAAGTTTAATGTGGAGTGTGAACAGCCAGTTCAGGGCAAGTAATCAAGGATTAGTTTATTCATCTTTTTCATTAACCTTTTCATGCCCCACTTCAACCTTCTACCATCTCTCACATTCCCACACTTCTACTCATCTCCTTCTTGGTAAGGTTCACAAATGTTAAAGGCAACCAGGAAGGGGGCTCAGAAAATAAAGAATGAGGGCTCAGTCTTATTCAGAGTTTCTAAGGTACCACTAGACACTATTATATAACTAGGGGGCCTATAGGTCTAGTTTTCATGATCCTTCAGATTCTTTTATAAATTTCTCCTTAAAAACCTCTTTGGCAAACCCTTCCTCCTATCTCTGGATAGAGAGAAAGCTCTTAATGATGGGGCTTCTATAACAAATATTTTTCTAAAGGAAATAAAAGAATGATTTTGTTTATTAAAGAAAACTGATGGGGGATCCCTGGGTGGCTCAGTGGTTTGGCATTTGCCTTTGGCCCAGGGCGCGATCCTGGAGTCCCGGGATCGAGTCCCACGTCAGGCTCCCGGCATGGCCTACTTCTCCCTCCTCCTGTGTCTCTGCCTCTCTCTCTATGTCTATCATAAATAATCTTCAAAATAAAAAAAAACTAATGATATTACTTACTTTTGAAATCAATTATGATGACCCTCTTTGGAATATATTTATTTAGAGAACTCACTTCTTATTTATTACATGCATTACTTATGATACTTAGTGAAAGAGGGCATCTTTTTAAAATATTGTCATCACTATTACTTTGTTTCTACCATGATTATTATTTTTCTGTCAAATATTTTGATAATTTCAAAATTATCTTCCCAAATATGCTTTTGTGCAATTTGCTATTCATTCTTTAACCCCATATAACAATTTAAAATCAAGTTATCTGCTCAATTTCCTATATTAAATTAGAGAAATGAAAGAAAAAAGTAAGATGTAATTAGTTATTCTTGATCCTATTCCAGAGTTACATTAAGAGTAAACAGCATATATAAATGATATTTACATATTTGGGTTAAGAATAAAAATATAGAGAGATTATGGCTAAATAACATTTAAAATACAAATACATATAAAATTACTAAATATACACACTTGTTAATATATGTACAATTTATTTAGTGTTAGCCACTATAATTATTAAGATATTCCTCTAAAGCTTCACAAAGATTTGCTCTTCTTTGGAATTCCCTCAAGAAATATATACTATTGTCAACAGACTGTTATTGACATGATAATCTTTATATTTATAAACTCCCAAAGTCAAGTCCTGCCAAGAAGTAACTCTTAGGAAAAAAATCAGTTAACTCAAACATAATAGTCTTGAACCTTCCCCCTAAACAACCCCACTACTTTCTCTTCTACAACAACATTTTACTATACTATACTTACCTTTCCCACCTTTACTTATTTCTTGAAGTAGCTTAATGCCAACTGTTTTCATATCTATAGAAAACAGTTGAAGTATAGCAAGACCAAAAGATAAAGATGGTGGTTTCCCATTCCATTCTCTAGTGAGACACTGAATTAATTCAGTGTGAGGACATAACTTTATTAACTGCATCAGGTCATCTGAAAGTAAAAGTAAAAAACTATGTCTCAACATCTTAATATGTTACATCAACTACAAACCAGGACCAGTTAATGTCTATACCAATCAACAATTCTTTTTACAATCCTTCCAAAACCCTCTCAATGCACTCAACAGTACTCTCTCCAATCAAAAAAAAAAATCATGCTCAATATACCAAAAAATGAAAGACTACCAGAAAAATAGATTATCAAAGATAGTAGATTAGAAAAGATTCAATTGGCAATTAGGAAACCTGAGCTCTTATCACAGTTCCATCACTGACTTATTCTTTTGGATCTCAGTTGATGCACCTTAAAAGTGCTAGAATCAATATATCCAATTTCTAAGTTTCCATTTGATACTACCTTATGTTTGTCTATATCCTGTTGCTCATATTTACACCAATTCCTAATGAGTATAATTTCTTTCTTTTTGTGCCTTGCACAGAAAAAGGGTTTCACTAATTTTTTTCCTAAAAATATCAAATATTTAGAAACTCAAAAATGAAGACTTTAAGAAGCTATCAGCTAGTTCAAGTAGCTAGAGGTAGAGCCATATGAAGTTGCCTACATTTGACCATTTTTGATTCCAAAAAAGGAATTTCTTATGGCTTAATATACCAGTTAACTAATGAGTTCATCTAGTTCTGCCATGATTTATATTCTTTTTTTAAATTTTTTTATTTATTTATGATAGTCACACACAGAGAGAGAGAAGCAGAGACACAGGCAGAGGGAGAAGCAGGCTCCATGCAGGGAGCCCGATGTGGGACACAATCCTGGAACTCCGGGATCATACCCTGAGCCAAAGTCACACACTCAACCGCTGAGCCACACAGGGGTCCCAACTTACTGAAGTTTTTCAAGTAAAAATATTCTTCTTAGGTCACAACAGGGATAATTTTCAAAATAATTTCCAAGTGCCTTTAAAGAACTACCATAAACATAATTTGCACTCTGACAGGCAATATAAGATAATCTAGTGTTTATTAAACACATATTTATGTACTGGGAACTTAAATATATTACTTGCTGCATTTAATATTCAGTATAAGTGAGATATTATTATTCTCACATTGAAAGTGAGGAAATAGGCTTTTCATAAAAAGTTCATTTTCCCATAATTATACATATGATATAAAGTAGAACAGTTCATTTGCTCTCCCAGTCTATGACCTTCCAATCTATAGTGATGCTCCTCCAAAACAATAAATATATGTATGTGTGTGCATTGCATGTATGTATATATGTATACACAGGCATGCAAACACACACACATAGATACAGAGACAGAGAAATTGTAAAAGAAGAAACAAGGAATAGCAGAATATAATTCTATATCAATAAAGTCAAACAATTTTTTAAAAATTTCCCTAGAGAGAGGTAGAAGTTTATGATTTGGGTCACTCAAACTGGCCCCCACTGAGGTGAAGCTATCTACATAGCACGCCCCAGCCTTCAACATTTCATAATTCACACATCTTGCTCTGCTTCATTCAGTCAAGTATTGAAATCCCCTTCTCCAAAATAACCAATATTTACTAAAATATGTGCAAGATATGATCTATGACTAATTAGAAAAAATACAAATTCAAATCCTCTGCTTACCACACTTTGGAATCCATTTTGTCATTCATTAGTTTGACATGTTAATCATTTTTTATACTGTGGATGTTCTGTTTTAATAAGATTATAAAGGCCTATATACCAAGTATGATATCTCTTTAACTCACAACTATCTAGAGCAGTGGTTCTCCAAATATGGTCTAGGGCTACAAAGTCAAACTACTTTCATAAAAATACTAAGTTGTTATTTTTCTTTTTCATTCTCATTCTTTCAAAATACACATGAGACTACATGACACGTGGTATTACAACAAACTGAATATAGGAGCAGATATGGGAAGCCAGCTATCTTCTATAAAATCAGGCATTACAGAGATTTGCAAAAATGTAGAAAATGTAACTCTTTTCAGGAAATTCTTTGGTTTTGGAAGTTATTATTTTTTTAAAATATTATTTATTTATTTATTCATGAGAGACACAGAGCATGAGAGAGAGAGGCAGAGACACAGGCAGAGGGAGAAGCAGGCTCCCCGCAGGGAGCCCGATGTGGCACTTGATCCTGGGTCTCCAGGATCACAACCCAGGCTGAAGGTGGCGCTAAACCGCTGAGCCACCAGGGCTGCCCTGGAAGTTATTTTTTTATAAAACATTTTATTATGATAACATGTCATGGGCTTATTGTTATTTTGAATTAAATAAATACCTTTAAATTTTCTGCTTTAATGTCTAATAGGATAAATATTAATAGACATAACTCATGTACATAAGAGCTCTTTGGGATGTTCAGTGCTTTTTAAAAGTCTAAAAGTTATCTGAGGCCACAAGGTTTGAGAGCCTCACATCTGGAATAACCCAATAATCTGGAATATGCAGATAGGTATATTCACTTGTTTAATGATAATTTTTATTCTAAAAATTACTAGTGGGGGACAAATAATTTTTACTTTTAAAACAGATGCTTTTTTAGTCACACTTATGCTTTTGGAACAAAAACCTTTCTAAGAACTTTTCTGTTTTTGTTTGGTTTTTTAATTTGTAAATGTATAACTGATAGTCTAAATCTTTTCTTTTTTTTTTTAAGATTTAATTTATATATTCATGAGAGACACAGAAAGAGAGAAAGGCAGAGACACAGGCAGAGGGAGAATCAGGCTCCATGCTGGGTACCACACATGGGACTCCATCCCAGGTCTCCAGGATCACACCCCGGGGCTGAAGATGCACTAAACCCCTGAGCCACCCAGGCTGCCCATTGATAGTCTAAATCTAAGAGAGAACAGTTTTTCTGAAACCAGGAAGTATTAACAAATTGAATCTGTCCCCCAAGGTCCATATAATACTGTGGAAAGCTGTGGTTGTTTCTCATTAAAAAAGCAAAATAAAGAAAGTAATTTTTCAAACATTGTTTCCATTTTGTAAGCTTAATTTTTCTCATTTTTATCTTATGATGTGCTAAATAAATTCTTTTTTTTTAAGATTATTTATTTATTTATTCATGAGAGACAGAGAGAGAGGGCAGAGACACAGGCAGAGGGAGAAGCAGATTCCCTGTCGGGGGAGCCCGATGCAGGACTCAATCCTGTGACCCTGGGATCACGCCCTGAGCCAAAGGCAGATGCTCAATCACTGAGCCACCCAGGCATCCCAACAAATTTTGAGGATAAACAGCAAAGTCCTAATTATGTAAGAGTGTCACTACTTTGTAAATTATTACAATATATATTTAATTATTCTAGATTGTAATGCACTACTTGAGGAACAGAACAATATAATAATGAGTCAATCATGTTTCTATGTACTTACACAAGGTAAATTTTGCAAGCAAAACAGAAACTTGACATTTCAACCAATAAAAATTCTAAGAGTAATTAAACCTATATTCCATCCATGTCTAAATTGACTAAAATAATCTCTTACCTATGGAAAAATAATATTTAAAACAGAAACTAAATCTGTACATTTAGATAATAAAAATAGAATACGTAATTCATTCAACAAATATTAATTGAGTTGCACTTTCTATACCAGATTCTGTTCTGTTGCTGTGTGTGTAGGCAAATTACTTACCTCTTTGGGCAAGCCAAACTATAGTATCAAGTGGGCTATTATATAACAAATAAAGAAATTCATAACTTTAAAAAATAGATTCTAAGCAAAATTCAGTTTATTGTTTGAAAATGATCAGATTCAACAGCCATCAACAGTCTTCTTTCCTAGAAAAATATAACCTAAAAGTGCTATGTTTTGTTCCATTTGCAACTTCTTAGAATTGGGGTACAAAGCCTGAAAATCAGAATAAGACATAGGCCTGGGATGTGGGAGATGTCAGGATGCCTGCACATTTAGGTTACGAAGGAAGAGATCAGCTCATTGAACTAAGGTTACCCTAAAGTTGACAATGGTCTCAGATCACAGCCCAACTGCAACCTAGATTTTCAAAATTTTGAAATGAACATTATTTTACTAATTCATCATTTCTAATGCTTATATCATAGTCCAGAACATTTTATGTAACAAATAAATTCAGCTATTAAAAAAAATCCTTTAAGTTGCATGGCCTAAAATAGCTGCAGAATAAATTGTGTACTTCAGAGGGAGAGAAGCAGTGACACCCAGACATCCACCTTCTCGAAGGCTGCCAGGCCCTCCCCCGAGGACAGCCCCAGTCTCAGTCCCCAATACCTTTGCCAGACATGCAAGGAAAACAAATCTTCTCAGCAACAACTGACCATAAAGCAGAGACCACCCTGCTGCACCTGGCCACAGCTACCTTGGACCCTCCATCAGTACCACAAGCTTGACGAACTTCACTCCCTGCCTCAGAGTTCCCTCTGTGCAAGCTTTGGCTCATTTCCCTCTCAGGGCCTCAGTATCTCTCCACTTGTATGATGGGTCTAGCAGTGCCTACCTGATGGGACTGTTGTGGGGATTGGCTGGAAGGTTGTGAGAACACCCTACCCAGAGTCTGACACAGAGTAGGTACTCAATAAAAGATAGGTTTTCACTAAAAACAGGCAAACAGACAAATCTACTCATCATATATGTAAAACACACTTTATATGTAAATCCAAAATATTTCCTACTATCATGGGTGATCTTAGAATTAAAGTCTAGAATTCAAATGTATACAGTTAAGTAGACTTTTTCACTTACCGTAAGTAAAGTCCTTGAATTGCTGTATGTATTCCATGGCCCCATGAATCTGACCCTGTTTACACAGGCAAAGAAGAGCTTTCTTGTGCAGGCCACATTCACTGTAGATCATCTGAGCTAATGCTAGGCACTTGGCCTTGTTATAAGTATCCTGTTCCCCATAATCGCAAATCACATCCCCCACCTCCTCAGAAAATGTGAGCCTAGAGCAAGCAGATCAAGAAGTATACTTTAGAGAGTTCTTGGTGAGTAGATGAGAATATCTAAAAATTCAGCACAGCAGAACAGGATTTTCCACGGTCTGTAAGAATTCCAAGTTAATAGGCAATTGATGTAGAAGAAATTAAACATATCTAAGATTTGACAACAAGAACAAAAACAAAAACAATCAGCACATATTCGTTTGGGGGAAGACATTTTAGCGAAACTGAGCTCAAGTTTTTAAAAAATCTACAAACACAGTTAAAACTCTCCTAAAAAGACTGGTGGGATTTAAAACGACAAGGTAAAGAAAAATTCTCTTATAATTGAGGATCTCAATGTCCTCAGCAGTTCTAAACCCTGTAGAGAGTAAGAACTCATTAAATGTTGGTTAAAGACAGTGACAAGAAATTTTAGCTCAAAATTAGTGACAGATTTTGTAAGCATTTGCAAGAAATGTGTGATACCATTGTTATTTTTTAAGATTGTTATAGATATATAAAAAAACAAAGGGAAAAAAAGGATATAAGATGTCCCTACTAGAAGAGACTGACATAGTTCTTTTGAGATGGCTCACTTGAGGGAACCCTGGGTGGCTCAGCGGTTTAGCGCCTGCCTTTTGGCCCAGGGTGTGATCCTGGGGTCCCAGGATCGAGTCCCATGTTGGGCTCCTTGCATGGAGCCTGCTTCTCCCTCTGCCTGTGTCTCTGCTTCTCTCTCTCTCTCTCTGTCTCTCATGAATAAATAAAATCTTAAAAAAAAAAAGAGATGGTTCACTTGAATAGGTTTCACTTGTCACCACATTTTTTAAATTTTTAAACTTTTTACTTGTCATCACATTTTAATGCACCATTCTCAAATACAATTGAAGTGAATCATCTGCACTAGTACATTAACTCCAGCTAGAAATGATCAGTGTAGGCCAAAACACATTTGGGTATAATTAAAGATATTCCTTCTAATCACTGGTTGTATGGAAATTTTACTTTAGTTATATTTTTAATAGCTACAGCTTTATGTGTCAGGTGATCAGACTTTTTTCCCAGGTAAGAATGACTAAGAGAATCAAGATTAATCTATAGCCTAGGCAGTTTTAGGGCTGGCTCTGTGCAGGTCTTCAGGGAAAGAACTGTAGAACTTTTTAAGGTAGCCTAGAGGCCAGGCCATCAGAGTCAGAGACCAGAGGACAGAGGCCAAGAATAAAGAATATGAATATAGGGAATTAATCTTGTCTGAAGTGCCTCTGCATTGATAACAGGTATTAATGAGCATGCACTTTCTTTTTTTTTTTTTTAATTTTTATTTATTTATGACAGTCACAGAGAGAGAGAGAGAGAGGCAGAGAGAGAAGCAGGCTCCATGCACCGGGAGCCCGACGTGGGATTCGATCCCGGGTCTCCAGGATCGCGCCCTGGGCCAAAGACAGGCGCCAAACCACTGCGCCACCCAGGGATCCCCGAGCATGCACTTTCTAATGGCGTTCTCACATCCAAACCATTTCCAGGGCTCCCTGACGAGTACGTTTTGTAGACAGTAGAAGATGTGACCAGGTGGGAATATATTGCCATATATTACCAGGTGGTATTCCCATATAATATATTACCATATATTACCAGGTGGTATACATTACCATATATAGCCCACTTGGGGTGGCTATATATATATATATATATATAGCCCAAGTGGGCTACAGGATATATGTACATAAAAAGAAATTTCCTAAAACAGGATTAACTATTATGTGAACAATAAGTGAAGCCATAATTAGAGGGTGGGAAAAAGCTACTTTGCACTGGTAAACAGTAGTGCCTTCAATACAGGACAGTTTGGGACTATCCAGTGTCATGTAGGGGAAATGGTGAATTTGGAATGGGCAGTAGTGTGCAAACTTGCCATTTTTATATCTGAGACATCTCTAAATCATGACTTTATTATTTAGGGTGTGTTTCCATTAGTTCATCCATCTCCCTTATGATATAGGAGAACTGTAACTACACTGTCATATGTATCCTATGTCTCTATGCAACCAGAGCCAAGGAAGCATAGTCCTTAGGATGCAAAATAAGCAAGCATGGCTACTAGATAGGTAACAGAGAAGCCTTTCCTCTCTCTGCCTTCCAATACTCACAACCCATCCTATATCCACATAGACCCAGCAAGAGTAGCTTGATCTTCAAAAGCAGGCAGAAATTGTTTTAGTCCTCTTTACTGGACCAGTGACTCTTCCCCAGATGACTATTAACAACTCACAGCTATCTCCTTCCCCAAAGAATTGCCCTCAGCTGACTGGAGCTGTCTCATGCAGAAAATTGCGCCTTTCAATCCTCCAGTAGTCTAGAGAAGATGACTGACTAACAAGGAATACGAAAGGCCAGTCCCACAATGTAAAAAGAAACAACTCTGGTATATAGGCTCCACATCCTCTCCCTGTAATGCTAGCTAATACTAGACTTCATCTGAGTTCACATCCTTGCTTAGCAGTTTGCCCTTCCCGAACCCATCTCATTTCTCCCCTTACAATATTTCTTAAGGAGTAGTCTATCAGCAAATGACATGACTCAAATCCAACTATCATGCTCTCTTTAAGGGAACAGAGAACCCGAGTGCCAAACATATTCCTCTCTTCCCTTTTATGTAACAATAATCTTACCTTCTCATGATAATCAAAGTCAATTGATTTGGACTCAAAGTTAGTCAAGGATTCACAGAACCTCAAGTTGCAGGCATGGGAAGCCTAAACTCCCTGTGATGGTTTATTTTATGTGTGTCATCTTGACAGGCTCATAGAGTGCCCAGATATTTAGTCAAGTATTATTCTGCGAGTCTGTGAGGATGTATTTGAAAGACAGTAACATTTGAATCCATAGACTGAATAAAGTAGACTGTTGTGAATGTGGATGGCTCTCATCCAATCACTTGACAGCCTGAATGGTACAAGGCCTCCTGCTTGACCACTTAGTTGGGACATCATTCTTTTCTTACCTTTAGACTCAAACAGAAACATTGGCTTTTCTTGGGTCTTAAGCAGCCTGAAACTCACACCAGTGGTGGCTCTCTTGGGTCTCTAGCTTGCTGACTACAGATCTTGGGACTTACCAGCCTTCATAATCACCTGAGCCAATTTCTTCATATTTGTGTATAGACACACACACACACACACACACACACACACACACACATTCACACATATATAATTTTAGATATGGAATATATATATCCTATTGATTCTGTTTCTCTGGAGAACCCTAATTAATATACTCCCCAAGTGGGCTACTGGGAATGATAGCAGAGCTACACTTTTATCTCCCAGACCCAAGTATTCTATCTACTGGGGATATACCATGTAATTGCCACTGGTTTAGAGTGCATTTCATCCTAAAGGATGGAGTAACAAACTAGCATCACCTGGACAAAACCTGAACCATCCAGGAACCAAGTTTGGGTTTTTTCCTCCTTGTCTACTGGTCTTAGGTCACCCCACCCCTGCATGAGACCATAGGTGTGAGCTGTGGAAGTAGTGTCAGACAGTTCATGGTAGTTGACATGGGTTCTGGGCCACCGATTCCTGAAACTAACTTGTATGCTCTGGATCTATTGAGCATGACCTTGATTGTACCTAATTTTAAAGATTTATTAATTTATGATAGACACACAGAGAGAGGCAGAGACACAGGAGGAGAGAGAAGCAGGCTCTATGCCGGGAGCCCGACACAGGACTCGATCCCGGGACCCCAGGATCGCGCTCTGGGCCAAAGGCAGGCACCAAACCACTGAGGCACCCAGGGATCCCTGATTGAACCTAATTTTAGATGAACTCTCTGAGCCCACCTGACCTCATGACCTGGTGAGTCTGCCACAATCCAGTTCATGATGAGCAGTTCTAGTTTCACATCATTGGTGTTTCCTGGATAAACACTTCAACTTTAGTAGGACCCAGCAAAGTTTTTTAATCGTATACAGTTGCTTGTTACAGGTGGCAGATAATCTACTGGGAGATCTCTGGGTAGTCCCAAGACAAATGAAAATTGTTAGCGGGTATCAATAATCACAGTTTGATAAAGGCATGGCAACCACAGTCATCCTACCAGACAAGCCATCGAGACCAGGAGAAGTTTCAGAGTAGAATATAAAATGGATGATATAGGAGAAAGATGATTAATAATTAATATGGATGAATCTCAAAATAACTAAGTGAAAGAGCCAGACCAAGAAGAAAAAATAATACATAATGTATAATTCCATTTTTATAAAATTTTAGAAAATGAAACTTCATCTATTGTGACAGAAAGTAGATCAGTCATTACCTGGGGACAGTGGAGGTGGAATAAGGTTAATTATCTCAGTGGTGGTAATAATTTTATGGGTATATACACGTCAAAAGTTGTCAAACTGTACTGATTATTATATGTCAATTATATCTCTACAATGCTGTTTTCCAAAAACTCATAAAACTGTGCATTTGAAATATACATCAATTATTGTATATAACTTATATCTCAATAAAGTTGTAAAAAACAAATTACAGCCCTAGGATCAATTATCATGATAAACACTATAGTACATCCACTAACTCCTCTCTTATAAGATTCCCCCAGAATTATAACCACAGGAGAGGTTGTGCCTAGATGGAGCAAAATTAATGTGACAAGCAAATACATAGGTTTGTGCAAATGGTTGACTAAAATAGATGCTGTTTTAATGTCCTGCTTAGATCCTCCTTCCCCCAGATACTCTGGGTGTGGCTGCCAGTGGCTTCCAAGTCCCTCCTTTCTAAGCAAATTGCCCTTTGCTGATGGGAGCCACCATTATAGGATATTATGCTCCACCCAGGCAGTCCACAGCCCTAAAAGAGAAAAAGATGTACAAAAGGCTGGCCCCTTGCCTCAGGGGGACAGCTCCGTGGTATAGGTTATGGTCTAGAGCTTCTTATAAGTAAGACCAAGGTTAGAACTTGCCTAAGATCACATCCTTTCTTGGCTTCCCAAAAACATACACACTCCTCCCTATTCTGCTTCACTCACTCCCTGATAGGGTTTTGAGAAGCCCTCTCTATCAATCACATACACTCAAATTCCTGTCTGAGTCTTTGGTTCTAGGGAATCTAACCTAAGGGAGCTCTAGTGCAAATATGCCACTCTGTCCTGAAACCAACTCCAAGAAGCCATCTCCTGTCTATCCTTGCTGGTTTGTATGTTCTAAATGTTACCTTGGCCTACATCCATACTGCTTATAAGTTTTCTCCTAGGTTTATCCTTTACATGTACCCATAACCTATTTGGATCCAGGTTCCTGCCTTATCCCTCTGAGTAGCATGATACTGACTAATCCTTTTCTAGCCTTACCAATCAACCTCTATCCACCATTAAGTGGTCATGAATCATGCCGTGAACTGCCATTAATTAACTCCTGATTTGGGCTCTTTGTGACTAGGTCCCATGACTACATGAATGCTTAGTAAATTCTTTCTGACCCATTAATTGCATTAGAGACCTGAGATAAATGTTCAAATAATGTACTAATAAAAAACTATTGAAATCTTGAGAGTAAACAACTTTACTAACCAACTATCAAAGTTGTTAAAAGCTTAACTTTGCTTACCTTTCCTGGGTGACCCAATTGATAACTAAATCTAAACGTTTTTCAGATAATCCACATTTGATTCCTTCCAGGGTTAGTTCTGCATCAATAGGACGTCTACATGCATGACTTGTGCTAAATATGGCTTCAAAAAATAAGAGTAAGGGAAAAGGCTTTCCTCGAATTTTTCCAACAGCTACGGAGAGAAGAAAAGTTTTTTAGTTGAATACTTTAGGTAAGTAATAGTTTACTTTTTCTTACTTCATATTATTATTTTCATCTCTTTGTATTTTCAAATAATTTCAATCTAAAGTTATATATTTATAATTTTTAACTAATGCTTATGGATTAAACATTACATTTTGGATAATGACTAAATATTACATGCTATGTGAAAACAAAGGCAGAAATTGGAGTGATGTGTCTACAAACTAAAGAATGCCAAAAATTGCTGACAGCCATTTAGAAGCTAGGAGAAAAATATGGAAAGTAATCTCCCTCAGAGCCTTCACATGGAAGTTTTAAAAGCTGAAAGAATATATCATCAGCAGACTTTCACTATAAAAAATGTTAAAAGTAATCTTTCAAGCAGAAGGAAAATACCAGAGAGAAATAGGAGTCTACATGAAGAAATGAAGACTGGAAATGGTATATGTTATGAATATAATTATTTAGAAGTATACTGTTTTTATATAATACATCAAGTGTAACATCACCTAATGGTAGAATGTGATAAGTTAAAGACATAATCTATAAACCCTAAAGCAACAACCAAAATAAGGCAACAAGGAGTTATAGCTCATGATCAGCAAAGGAGAAAAATACAATCATGAAAAAATTCAACTAATTCAAAAGAAGGCAGAAAAAGAGGGGAAAAAACAAGGTAACAAGCAAGGGGTAAGAAAGAAAACAAAACTCAACCATGTCAACAATCACATTAAATGTAAGTGATCTTGGGATGCCTGGTGGCTCAGTGTTTGAACATCTGCCTTTGGCCCGGGGTGTGGTTCTGGAGTCCTGGGATCGAGTCCTCAAGGAGCCTGCTTCTCCCTCTGCCTAAGTCTCTGCCTCTCTCTCTTTCTGTATCTCTCATGAATAAATAAATAAAATCTTTAAAAAATAAAATAAATGTAAGTGATCTAAACACTCGAAGTGAAAGGCAAAGATTGTCAGTGTATTAAAAAGTAGGATCCAAGTAAATGTTGCTTAGAAGACACGGACTTTATTTTTTGTTTCAAGTTTTTATTTAAATTCTAGTTAGTTAACATACATAGTAAAATTGGTTTCAGGTATAAGAGTCTGTGATTAATCACTCCCATATAATAACACCCAGTGCTCATCACAAGTGCCCTCCCTAATACCCATCACCCATTTAGCCCATTCCCTGGCCTACCTCCCCTCCATCAACCCTCAGTTTGTTCTCTATAGTTAAGAGTCTCTTATAGTTTGCTTCCCTCTTTTTTTTCCTTTCTCCAATGTTCATCCATTTTGTTTCCTAAATTTCACATAAGTGAAATCATATGGTATTTTTCTTTCTCCAACTGAGTTATTTCACATAGCATAGTACACTCTAGCTCCATCCATGTCATTGCAAATAGCGAGATTTCATTCTTTTTGATGGCTGAGTAATATTCCATTGTAAATACATAGACATAGATATACAGATATACATATAGATAGATATCTTCTTTATTCATTCATCAGTCAATGGACATTTAGGCAAGAAGTCAAAAAAATTACTTACTATGTAATTCCATTATATAAAGTGCTAGGAAATGCAAACTAATCTACAGTGACTGAGAGCAGACTAGCAGTTGCCCCTGATGCTGTGGGAGACAGGGAGATGGGAGGGATAAGGAGGAGTCAGAGAGAGGAATCACTGAGGGCAATGAGGGAACTTTTAGGTGATACAAATGTCACAACTTTTCAAATTGTGTAAATACATGCACTGTGTTGTATGTATGTCAACTTACAGCAATAAAGCTGTTTTAAAAGGAAGTAGAGCAAATTTGACAAAATGTTAACATTTACTAAATCTTGATAGTGAGTACATGGCTGTTGTATATTTCTCCACACATTTTTGTATGCTTGAAATATTTCCACATTTAATTTAGAAAACCTAATCAAATTCCTCAGTGTGACAGCTAAAGAAATGGAGTCATTAGCAGAGATAGGGCTGGAGCCTAGATCTGTAGTCAGCTACTATAATACTCTTTCCATTCCATCAGGCGGAAAAAGCACCATTTGCCTCCATACATAAGATTCATAGAAAAATGCTCACCCTTAAATTTATTCACTGTCCCAATATTTTGAAGAATTCTTCTGGGACTGCGTGCTGCAAAACAAGCTGCCTTTTCATATTCACCAAGCGACATTAATTCATTGAACCTACAGCCATTCCATTTTGTTATACATTATAATAGTACACACAAAAAAGGGAAAGAAAACTGATTAGAAATGTCTGAAGCAGACTAAACACAGTAATATAGGAAAACTCTATCTAGATTTATTCACTCAATAAGATGTTTTTTCACTCTGTGATATTCCAGCATTTTTTTGTATCTGTATTTTTTTAATAAAACTCACGTGACAGAAGACTTTGAACCTTACCCTGTACTTTATTCCTATAGCACTTATTGCAAGACATAGAGAACAAAAGAACTTGAACTGAATTCACAATGAGCTCAGATTTTTTTCTCTGGTATCGTCTAAAGATGAAAAGGGATATGAGGGGAAAGAAGGGCAACCTGCTTAGGGATTCAGCCTAGGGGACACAGTAAGTGAAACACAAAGAATGTGGAATTGGAGATCAAGAGGTATCCTTGGTATTCACGAGCCTATGTTGCTCTGCCAGGCATCAGACACTCCATTAATTATGAGACTAACACAGAAGAAAAAATAATAGTTTGGTTAACTTAAGCCTCTACTCCTCTTCTTAGGGCAAAATGTCTTCAAACCAGCTCTTACCCCATAATTAATAAAACTATGGCAAACAGGATCCCTGGGTGGCGCAGCGGTTTGGCGCCTGCCTTTGGCCCAGGGCGCGATCCTGGAGACCCGGGATCGAATCCCACATCGGGCTCCTGGTGCATGGAGCCTGCTTCTCCCTCTGCCTATGTCTCTGCCTTTCTCTCTGTGACTATCATAAATAAATAAATAAATAAATAAATAAATAAATAAATAAATAAATAATAAATTAATTAAAAAAAAAAACTATGGCAAACAGGATTTACAGTGTTGCAAATGAATTTAAAACCCTAGGGAGAAAAACACCAAAGTAATAAGCAAAACACATAAAACTTTCAACTTCAAGGGTTCTTCTCTCATATCTAAAGCTGGTAGACTTGGAGAGGCACACAGTGTAAGGAAATAGCACAGGCTTTGGTACCACCCCAAAATGACCTTCGCCCCTTCTTTGTACCACATCAGTAAGACAATCCACAATAAAAATTGTTCAACATATAACTAGAAACAATATTGTTCAACATAGAACTAGAAATGTTCCTTACATACTGGCCTCATAGCCTATAAATTAATCTCTTAGAGAACAGTCATAGGTCTTCTTAAGCCTCTATTACACACTATATATAGTAACTTAAATATTAGGAAGAAATATGCCTCTTAATATGACATAGGATGGAAATGATGAGAAAAAATGACTGAATTAGGATGATCTGACTCATGACTCATGAAGATATTCTCAAAAACATTTCATAACACCAGGCAAATGGTTAGGAAATGCAAATATAGATATAAATAAAACTTAAATCAACACTATGAGCCACCTATATCCTCTGAAAAATCTCCCAGACTACCAATCTAATATTTTTTACACAAAGAATGTATTTTCAAAAATTCTAGTTTATTTTCTAATTTGTTTATTAGAGTAAAATTATAAAAATACAAAATCTAGAGACTATAGGCTCATCAAGATGCTAAATAAATGCTGAACACTTAATATTAAACATGTACTTAATATTTAAATAAATATTAAATAAGTGTGATAACATTTTAATAAGAAAAATCAAAGATTTTAAAATATTTGCCTTTCAATGTAGCCAAGCAAAATTTCAGCTTCTTTTGCCTTGCCTGGATCATCTTCAAGCAGTTCCTCAACAATGCCTTGGTCACCTATAATTACTGAAAGCACCATAGAATACTTAAGACTATTGATCAAAAGAAAAAATAATATATATATATATGCTTAATATCAATAACTTAATGTGGGATCCCTGGATGGCTCAGTGGTTTAGTGCCTGCCTTCGGCCCAGAGCGTGATCCTGGAGTCACCAGATTGAGTCCTGCATCAGGCTCCCTGCATGGAGCCTGGTTCTTCCTCTGCCTGTGTCTCTGCCTCAATCTCTCTCTGTGTGTCTCTCATGAATAAATAAAAATCTTAAAAAAAAATAACTTAATGCTATGATTTCTAACAGCACTAACCTCCTTCTAAACTGAGTAGCCTCCCCATCTGTGTCTCCCTTATTTTCAGGAACATTTTTAGGTATTCTCTCTTTGGCTTCCCACATTTACTATTTACCAATTTTTTTTTTAAGATTTTATTTTTTAATTCATGAGAGACACAGAGAGAGGCACAGACACGGGCAGAGGAAGAAGCAGGTTCCATGCAGGGAGTCCGACGTGGGACTCAATCCTGGGACTCCAGGATCACGCCCTGGGCCTAAGGGAGGCGCTCAACTATTGAGCCACCCAGGTGTCCCTACTATTTACCTGTTAGCTGTTGAAGGAAGAAGCTCATAGGATAATAGAAACCTAACAGAAGTAGTGCACTTTTTTATTTCTTTAAACTCAGGCTAGGAAAATCCTTATTCTTTAGCTTTCCGGGGGAAAAATGATGTTTTCCATTATTTGTTGTAGTTAAAAAATATAGATAAATTACCATGTAAACTTTTTGTTTTCTGAATTTCCTCCACAAGGTCTTGAAATGAGCTGCTCATATCAGATTTTACCCATGAAGTAACTGCATTTGAAATAATTTGCAGTCTTTGATGACTACAAAGATTAAAAAAAATCAACAATTTACTGAATCTAAAATCAAATAGTGGAATAATAGAATAAACACAAATAAAAGCTTTGAACTTAAAAAATATACAATTTTCATACCGAAACTGTAATTCTTTGTTCATATTTTCAGCTAAATCTCTCCGTTTTAATGTCACAATCATTTCCTCATCTAAGTCTGCCTTCCTTTGAACTGGAACATATTTTTTCAACATAATCCGTTTAATTTCAATATATTTATCCTCAAGATGTTTCAGGTATTTAGTGAGAGCATCTAAATTGACGGATTCTTGAAGAGTCATGCCTACAGGGAAAAGGGAACAAATCAAAAGTGAAACCGTGTGGGGGACTCATCCTCAATGGCAAGTCCTAGCAAAATAGAACATAGTTTGTAATGTTAAGAAATAAATAAGACATGCATGAACTTGTAACTTACTGAACATAAAGGGAATTAGCACACAATTTTAAATGCATAGCAGTTTTAAACATATCATCAATGAAGGCTGATTGTCCAAACCTTAGCATCTTAAAGGTTTTTTTTAAAGCTTTTTATTTTACTTTTAAGAGAGAGAGTGTGCTCACACAGCTGGGGGGGCAGGGGTGTAGAGGGAGAGAAAAAAATCTTAAGCAGGCTCTACGACCAGTGTGGAGCCCAGTGAGGGGTTTGATCTCACCACCCTAAGATCAGGATCTGCGATGAAATCAAGAGTCCCATCCTTAACTGACTGAGCCACCCTGGCTTCCCTGCATCTTAAGAAGTTTTAATGACCTCACTGTCCGGCCTTGCAAATCTCCAAGTATCACTGTTACTCAACACTGCTAAGAGCTTCTGCCTAACAATTCAGGATTTTTGTCCAAAGATTTCTCTCTAACCAAATCTTCCATTAATCTACTACAACAAACACTGGGGTAATCTGTTTATTCTCTCCAATGCAACGTTTATAAAACCTGACAAACCCTCAGCCCTCTCTCCCTCATCACCCCCTGTATTCATCATTCATAACAGTCCACTCACACACACTTGAAATGATTCCCTTATACAGGCCAACTCTTGCCTTTAAAGGCATACCTCAAAATTCTCTCCCAGAAACCTCCCTGGATTAATCATACTCAATTTGTAATCATTTCCTTACCCTGAATCCATTTTATCAATTTGACTTATTCTCTACTTATTCATATGTACCTTATTTGTAGTTTGAGAATCATTTATTTTATATTTGAAAGTGAATCGAGTCCCTGCTCCCACCAAATGCAGGATGATCATCCAACCTCAGGTGAAATCCTCTGGTATGGAACAGTTCATTATCTTCAAGACGTAGCTTCTTCTATTAAAACTAAAACTGACTTCCTAAAATTTCCACCTACTGGTTCTGCCTCTGGATAAACACTGGTTGAAATCCTTAAAAGTTCTGAATACAGTTAGCTATTCTCAAAGTCTCCCTTTTCTCCAGGACGAATATTTGTAATTCTTCTATCCATGCATCAAAAAAAACCTCTCAACATCCTGACAAATTCCAGGATATACTCCCAATTTCTTAAAATGTGGCTTAGGTGAAGATAAAGAACCAGTAAATGCTGACATCAATGTGAATCAAAAATATTCACTAGAACTTAATACACTACAATTTTTTTTGTATATTATACCAGGGAGTCTCAAAATTTAGAATCACCTGAAGGCCTTGCTAAAACACTATTGAGTTCCACCCCACCAACACCCCAAATCCCATCCCTGGAGTTTCTGACACAATAAGTCTGCAGTGGGGCCAAAGAGTTGCATTTCCAAGAGATTTAAGGGTAATTTTGACATTGATGCAGGAACCAAATTTTAATAGCTACTCCTATACACTTTACGTAATCCAGCCAGTCTGGAACTCTTAGTTTTTCAGGGTTGTTGAAGTTTCTCATTCCCTTATAGTTGTCTGCAGCCCAGGCTAACATTGTTTGTAAAGTCTGACTAAAATCCTGGTACACTTGTAAACATATACATTGTAGCACATATATCATAATTCGTATGATAGATAATAACTGAAAACAGTTGGAATTTCAAACGCTTTAAACAAAATACAGTACCTGGAATAGGTTTTGAAGGATCTTTGGAGAAAGTATGGTATTTTACTTCTTTTGTGTCATACTCTGCCCTAAGTTGTTTCATTTTGTCTATTTGCAGTTGAATCTTTGAGGAATCATTTTCAATAACATTCATTCTGAAAAACAGAAAGGCTTTCTTATGTTTCTTTCAACTAGTTATTTAATCATAAGATTTAAAGTAAAACAGATTAAATCATTACTTTATTTTGGCTAATTATCATTTTGAAGCATTATGGACTTGAGTGTAAGTTTACAAAACGATGCCCATAAAAAGTTAACTAACCTCACAAGTGAACAGAGCTGAATCAGTAATATCTCACACTACCAATTCGTAACCTTACTGGAAATTTGTATGTGTTATGTTAAACATAATAATCTGGCCACAAAGTACTGTATCTATTCCCTATAGTTGAAAATTACCTTTGCAGCTACAGTTATTTTTGTAATTATATTAGCTTTCTGTGGCTGCTTTAACAAATTGCCAACAACTTATTGGTAGCTTAAAACAACAGAAATTTTTTCTCCTACAGTTCCAGAGATCAGAAATCCAAAATCAGTATCACGGGCCAAAATCAAAGGGCTATGCTTTCTCTTAGAAACTCTAGGGAAAAATCCATTCCTTGCCTCTTCCAGCTGCTGGGGGCTGCTGGCCTTCTAGGACATCACTTCAATCTGCCTGCATAACCACACTGCCTTCTCTCCTTCTTCCTGTCCACACTCCTTCTGCCTCTCTTTTATAAGAACACTTGTGATTGTATTCAAGGCCCATGTGAATTATCCAGGATAATTTTCATGTATCAAGATCCTTAATGTAGTTTTTTTCCAAATAAAGTAGCAATTCCAGGTTCCCAGGATTAGGAACTAATAACAACTTTGAGGCCATTATTCAGCCTCCTATAGTAATTATGTGGGGTTTTTAAAATTTTATTTTATTTATTTGAGAGAGAGAGAGAGCACACGAGTGGGTGGAGGGGGGGGAGGCTGAGAAGAGGGAGTAGACTCCCTGCTGAGAGCCCCCCCTCCCCAACGAAGTGGAGCTCCATCCCAGAACCCTGAGATCATGACCTGAACCAAAGGCAGACACTTAACCAACTGACCCACCTAGATGCCCCTCCTATCCTAATTTTGATCCTAGAGCTGGAGGAAGGATAGCACCTCTTTGAGATAAAACTATTTTATTCCAGAATTGGGGATCTTGAAGACCAAAAGGTGGATATAAATTTCTTTAAGCATTATTTGAAGTTCACTATCTAGTTTATCACTAATATGTTGGTCCAGGGAGGAAATAACAGATTAAAATAAACTAGACATATAAATGTCAACGTTTTTGGCAAATTAAAAAAAAAGTCTGTCAGTAGAGAACTGCTGCCCACATCTGATTACTATACAGAGTTCCTGGTAACTATAGATGCCTCAGAGTAAGAGCCTGTAGTATTTATGAAAGAGGGACTGCAGAAATAAAATACCATTTGACTTTCATCCAAATAAACTTATGCTTGTGAAAGAGCATGTTAAAAGTAAACAAATTTTGGGGGCGGCTGGGTGGCTCAGTTAGTTAAGTGTCTGACTCTTGACTTTGGCTACATCATATCTTAGGGTTGTGGAATTGAGCCCTGTGTCCTTTTGGGCTACTTACTAATATACTTACTTTGCCACAAGTTGGATTGTTCTTTTCCTGTGATACACCAATGCTGTGGGCTCTGCTGCCAAAGCTTTAAGTTTTCCATGAAGACAAAATGCAGTTCTTTGGCTTTCCTTCATTGTCTCAATAATGGCATCATATTCTTTTTTGATTGAAGTAAGAACGGATTTGTATGCAGTGACATACTCTATTACCTGAAATATGATTTTTCTGCCTATGGTACTGAATTTTTTTTCTGGAAAACTATGGAACAAAAGCCTTGCAAACAGCATTATTGTAGATTCTTTTTTTTTTTAAGATTTATTTATTTATTTATTTATTTATTTATTTATGAGAGAGAGAGAGAGAGAGGCAGAGACACAAGAGGAAGGAGGAGCAGGCTCCATGTGGGGAGCCCGATGTGGGACTTGATCCCGGGACTCCAGGATTGCGCCCTGGGCCAAAGGCAGGCGATAAACCGCTGAGCCACCCAGGGATCCCTGATTATTTCTTAAATAAGACATGACAGGCAGTTAGAAGCCTTAAATTTTAATACCCAGGGTATTAAAGACAATATTCACAGAATATGCACCTTGCGAATTATTACAATACCGTGAGCTTAAATATTTTTGCTCTACTTAGTATGAAAACATATATTATACGTCAGTTAAAACCAATACCAGTTCTAATTATCTCAATTATAGATCTTTTAAATATAATTGCCTACCATTCCTTACTATCTCCAAATCTAGTCTTAGACGTTGTCATTCAGACCTTAAAATCTTGGATTCTCTTCACCTGTTTTTCTAACCTATCAGCTCCTACTAGCCAATCAATACTCTCAATTCCCCACTTGCATTTCTATTGCTAAGATGTCAAGTACAACTATAGAAAACCTACTACATATTCATGGTTTCCAATGGTATGTATAAGTAGAATATCTCTAGAAGGATAAAAAAGAAAATAGAAATATGGGAGCCTGCAGAGAAGCAAAGAGGAAGCAGGATTTGAGATGAAAAGGACATGATTTTACACTGTATATTCTTCTCTTTCTTTCTTCCTATCTTCTAGATATATGACCCATGCAAAAATAATTGACATTTAAATAAGTTAAAAAACAAAAAATAATCAAGAATTTATTGTTTCCAAGTTCTGCTCACGAGGATTTTATTTTTTAAATGATTTTATTTATTTCTTCGTGAGAGGCACAGAGAGAGAGGCAGAGACCGGCAGAGGGGGAAGCAGGCTCCCTCCCCGTGGAAAGCCCAATGCAGGACTCAATCCTGAGACTCCAGGATCACTCTCTGGGCGGAAGGGAGGTGCTCAACCACTGAGCCACCCAAGTGTCCTGCTCTTAGTGTTTTAAAATGAAATTCCAGGGTTTTATGTATCTCTGTTTTTAGAATTAATGGATTAAAAGAGTTAACTAAGAATGGAAATAAATAGAGAAGAAGATGGAGAATTCATGAAGCAGTTAATCTATTATTTTTAATAATCTGTTTTTGGGAGTAAAGTCAGGCCAAGATAGATCATTAAAGAAATAATTTCCAAGTGGGAAGAGTTCTACACAGAGAGCTAGAGACTTTGAATCTTCTCTGCCATCATTTTTGTGATCCCAGGAGAAGGGGAAAAAATAACATTACTGTGCCATCACTGGCTTCATACACTGTTTAATATAATTTTTAATAAATTCAGGGTAAAAGTCCAGGGGTCTGAGGGAGATGAGGAAAAGCAGTCATTCCTCAGCTCCTACATATGGACATAGACTATTTGTACATGTTACCAGAAACAACACAAAAACCAGCCATTTCCAGATGACAGTTGCCTCCATAATTCGCCCATTTCTGTAGAAGCTCACTCTTCCAAGTTTTGGTCTTCCTCACTTACTAAGTCTGGCTCTTTCTATAACCTACCCTCAATACTTGTTATAGGAGTCTCAGGTCCTCCTTGCTTTGATTCAGGCACAGTTCACCAGGTAAAATCCTCTATTTCTGATTCTAAGCAGAATTTGTTGTTTTCTGATTCCAAGTACTCAGAGATGCAAGTTATACTTTCATCTTTGTCCAAGAAGGAAGGAAGATTAGAGAAGGCAGTCATTAATAGTTTATTAACAATCAAATGTGCTGGAATAACATGAAAATGGAAAGACAGATTATCTTAAAAAAAACCAGAAGTTTCTCTAAATGTCAAATTATTTCTATTTCAGACATCCTCTCAGTCCTGAAGAATAGGATTCTTTACAAGGCACAAAGGTATAACTTATAATTGTACAATGGACAGTCTACATGGAAATCTTGGGGGGTAGGGAGAAAAGGTCTATAGATGTTAAATGTTCTTTTACTTAATTCCATGTCTTTTCTCTAAGAATTAAATTAACCAACACCACCTCCAACATGACTTCACTAAAACTATAATACTAACTTAAAGCAGACAAGTCTTCATGTAAGAAAACTTCTGACAAGTGTCAGCATTTGGACACGCAAAGAAAAGCACGTCACAGCTATGGTAACTTTCCTCTGCTGATTTCATGTAAGTACAATCTTAGGATGATTCTTGATATTTATGAAACCCATTCAAAATATTGCCTTTAAACATTCATCCAATATATTCCTTAGTACCTCAAACACCAAAAGCAGTATCACTTATCATAGTAACATAAAAAAAAAAAGAAGCTAACCTGCCAATGTACCAATTTTAAATGATAGTGCCTCTACAGGATTTAAAAGACTGTTTCTTTATTTTATACTTTTATGGATACTCAAACATTATCTTAATTCCACTTGCAGGTATAGATCACTACTTTGTGCTCACCTTTCCTTAGAGTTTTTAATTAGAGTAGAAAGAAGACTTATAGTGTGTCTTGTTTTAAAATTAAACAAAAGACTTAGTTCCTATTTTGCCTATAACTGTATTACTCAGATACCAAGAATCTACAGAATTCTCAAGATAAATAATTATTTCTTCTGGGTAAGGAGGAAAGGATGCTGATTATTTTGCAGCCAGGGCATCTTCTAAGTTAAAAAAAAGTAAGGTTAAAAAAAAAATAGGAGCAAAGGGGAAATGCAATTGTTTATAAAGAAAAACAAGTGTTTCTAAAACCCTAAAAAGCAAAATCAAATGTTATATAAAACCATAATATTTTCTAAACTCAATCTATTTCCAGTGTTCAGTCCAGTCAAACCTCTTGTTTACTGGACCTCTAACTCACAAAGAGTTCCAATTTAATATGCTAGATCATATCCAAGCCAAGACTTTAATATCACAAGCAAACCCAAAACAACAACCAACAGGTTCCTGCTTTGCAGCCCAAGTCCTAATAAATCAGATATTTTTAGATAAAAGGCCAAAATGATGTTAGGAGACACAACTAACTTGTTGCTCAAAAACTGATAGTCTGCACTCAAGCTAAAACAACTGAAACATTCATTAACTACCTAGTGGCAGAAATCCAGCACTGTATTTTCCCCATTCATCCCTTCCCAATACACTGGATGAACATCTCAAAATTGACAAAAGAAGTGTAGTCAAACAAGCAGTGATGTTACTAAGGCAGGAATTTTAATTGTCAAGATAGACTATTTCTACCCCATGAAATCTCCATCATCTTAAAAGCATTATGATACCTTATCAAAAACATTTCGATAAATGATGTAATATTCATCAGCAGGTCCTTCCTCATTACAGCCCACTCTTTCCATTTCTGTAATTATGTATCTTTGTATACTTTCCAAAAATTCCTTGTCACTTCTACCAATGATAGGAGGAAGAACTGCATGTTTATTTATTTCTTGGACAAACATATGTCACAATCTGAACACTTGTTCACCAGAGTAGAGTTGTCTTGACTGGCTTTTGCAACAAAGCCAAAACTTTGGTAAGCCTGAAAGAAAAAAAGACCATCAATTGATCTGAAGCTTAAAATAAACTAAGTCATTTCTAATAAATTTAAAATAAATTAAAATTGGCCTAAAATGTATATTTGCCTTGGGAAAAAAGTTCCCATGAATCTGAGATAAATATTTCAACCTATGAATTAAAAGGTCTAATCTATTCTACTGCCAAGTGCTATACTTCCGGGATAGAAATACCAAACACCACTTAATAAAGAGCTCTTTTCTTAGTAACCAGGCCTATGTGTTATGTCATTGGATAGTTTCTTATGTTTAATTCGATACTTTTTAACAGATGGTTGCCATTTTGTTTGTTTCACATGAGAGAACCAGTTTGAAAGCCTCCTCATGATACAAACAAGGTCAAATACTTCTCTACCAGTGTGCTCAGTTGGCCCAACCATAGTCATGATAGCTACAAACAATTCATTATTATGATAAACTTTATTAGAATTCTTATCTTCAATATAAACATACTAATTAAAAAGTAAGAAGTCAGAACTTCTGCTAAAATACATCCATCAATGATATCAGAATAACAAACAGTCCTCCTCTAGTACAGTTTCAAGCAGCTACATTCCATTGCTCTTTAAGAAAAATTAGTTGGATAAAGAAGTTGATTCCTAAAAACTACTCATATTAACTTCAAACAGATCTCATGGCTTGTTGAAAAATGTCTGGCAAGGCAAAACATTTTAACTCTTCTCATCTTCTCCCCCACCCATGCACATTCAGGTGTAAAATTTAGAAAATATAAACCAAAGAAAATTAATGAAAAACTAAAATCATCCAGAATCATCCATCCAAACATGATTATTTAATATTTTGGTATATTTCCTTCCAGATTTTATGATTATAAAAATTAGGATCACTCCCTATATTCAGCTTTGTATCCTCATGTTTTTCACTTAATATTAAAAGCACTTTTTCATGTTGCTGAATAGTTTTCAAAAACATGACTTCTAATTATGTAGTATTTTATAGTACGCTATACCATACTTCACTTAATCACTCCCCCAAGTTACCTGGAGGGTATTATGCTAAGTGAAATAAGGCAATGGGAAAAGGACAAACATTATATGGTCTCATTCATTTGGGGAATATAAAAATTAGTGAACGGGAATAAAGGGAAAGGAGAGAAAATGAGTGAAAATATCAGTGAGGGTGACAAACATGAGAGACACCTAACTCTGGGAAATGAACAAGGGGTAGCGGAAGGGGAAGTGGGCGGGGGGTTGGGGTGACTGGGTGATGAGCACTGGGTGTTATGCTATATGTTGGCAAATTGAACTCCCAATAAAAAAATTTTTTAAAAAATCATTCCCCCACATTTAGACATTTCCACTATAATAAATAATGCCGTGATAGATAAATATCTAAATCAATTACACCATGTTGTAGCGATATCATTGAAATCTGGTTATCTAAAATGGCATATATGGCCTATAAATCTTGCCCACAGGTCATATGCAGGAGGAGGGAGCCAATTTCAAAATTTAAAAGAACTAATTTATATTGATGAACTGGATAATGAAAAACCAATTTATAAATGAACATAAAGTAGTTCCAATAAGGTGATAACCCATAAATGGATCAACAGTTTTCCCAAGTGAGAAATCAATTTCTTTATTCATTCATTCAACCAATATTTATTGTTTACTATGTGCCACCATTGTTTTGTAGCTAGAGATTCAGTAATAAATAAGATAAAGTTTTTGGCTCTTTGGAGCTTACAATCTAGTAGGGGAAACAGACAATAAATAAACAATGTAATTTCAGATTGTAAAAGATAAAGAGTCAAAGGAGGAAGGAATGGGAGTGACCACTGGGGAATTAGTGATTACATCTGAATACCAGTGGCCTATTAACCTTAGGATAAAATCCAAATTCCTTTACCAATGAATACCCTATAGGAACAGGCAGTCCCTTTCTCTGTCCAAATCTAGCCTTTCCATGCCCTGCCCTCCTCGTAACCCCCAACCCCACTTTCATGACTTTGCTGAGAGTCTTGGTATAATTCTCTCTCCACCTCTGTATTCTGTCCCTCCACCCTCAACACTCCCTGCCCCAACCAAGATAACCTTTGTACTACCACTCTCATTTCCTTGTCTCTTATGCATTTTTCAGATTTTAGGTTACACAGTTCCAGGAAAGCTGCCCTGAATTCCCTTAAACGTGGTCATCTACTACATTCTCCCATGGTACTGCGCGCTTCCTCTACCATGGTTGGTATTATCACTCAGCCACTCTGTAATAGACACTTTCTGTTTACATTCTCTATCTCTCCCAGTAGGCAGGAACCAAAATTTTCTCATTCCCCATCATCCTTCCCTACCTATATGCATTCCAGTGCACAGTACAGCTTCTAGCAGAATAGGTACCAAAAAATGCTCAATAATCAATAATCACTGAGCAATAGTCTGGTCTGCTCAGAAGACATCACTTGTACCCTCAAATCAGAACACAGCTGAAGTGACTGTTTCTCAAAATCTACAAAATGCCCCAAGTCACATAAATCAACTCAGATTACCTTTCACTCATTTATTCATACTAGATACATAGGGATACAGAGAAAGCAAGTCACAAAGATTCCCAGTCAGGTCTATTGGGTCTAGTTAAATTAGCAATTGTTATAGAGCAGAGAGGGTAGTGTGACAGAGGTGGGCACAAGGGGCTCCAATGCCCAGAGGGGCATCTCACTAATTTGTGGGAGAGGGCAGGGAAACATCAGGAAAAACATCTAATGGAACAACACCTAGGGCAATGCTTATGTTGCACTGTATTTATGTATTCAATGAATTGGGAGGGAGGGGGGCCATCTACCATGTCTGCCACTAAGCCCCACACTAGAGATACAGCATCAAATAAAACAAAGTCCCTAACCTCCCAGAGGTTACATTCAGAGACCGACAACACCCAGAAATGCAGAAGACACATGGGGCTAAGTTGTATAAATATATGAAAGAAGGAATGGGGACTAGAAAGAAGGTGGGAGCATGCTATTTTATACGAGGTGTTAGGTTGGGAAAGAGGAAAGCCCTCACCGATACGGTGACATTTCAGAAACCTGAAAAACATAGTTTGAATATTCCTGGGAGGAGTGGTTGATGCACACAGAGCAGCAAGTCCAAAGACCTCAAAGCAGCAGAGCACCTCTGGCAAACAGCAAGAAGGCCAAAGGAGCTAGAAGGGAATGAGAAAGGGCCAAAAGAGATAAGATCAGAGGTAGCTGCCAGAACACGTAGGACATAAGGCCTTGAAGGCAGGACCATTACCAGCCCCCCATGGGGCATTTTTGTACAGGTTAGAAAAAGGTGTCCCCTTCACTAGAGGAACAATGGGCTGGAACATGGCCTTGTCATTCCAGTGCTGAAGCAACAGCCTTATAGAAATTTATGCTTTGCTCTCAGTGACATGGGAAGGTGTTGGAGTGATATGGACACAAGAGTGACAGCTGACATACATTTTCAAAGAATTCTTCTTGTTGCTTTATGAAGACAAGGGTCAAAGCTGGAAGAACTGTTAGGGAGCTACTGCAATAATGTGGGCAAAAGATAATGGTGGCTTGAATCAGGGTGATAACAGTTGAGGTGATGAGAAGTGTTTTGGGTATTGAAAATAAAGCCAAGAAGAATTTGCTGTGCATAAGAGGGGGTATGTGGATATGAGAGAGCAGTCAAGGATGACCACAAAGTGTTTGGCCTTAGCAATGAGAAGATGGGCATTGCCATTTGCAGAGATGGGAAGAGCAATTCATGAGATCAGAACTTTGCCTATGAGAGGTGTTGAGTAGTCGGCTGTATATGTAAAGGTGGGGTTCTAGTGAGTGGTCTGAGTGAGAGAGAAGTTTATCAGTCACAGGCATACAAATGGTATTTAAAAGTTATGAGCCAGGGCAGCTCGGGTGGCTCAGCAGGTTAGCGCCGCCTTCAGCCCAGGGCCTGATCCTCGAGGCCCACGATCAAGTCCCACGTCTGGCTCCCTGCATGGAGCCTGCTTCTCCCTCTGCCTGTGTCTCTGCCTGTCTCTCTCTCTCTCTCTCTCTCTCTCTCTGTGTGTGTGTGTCTCATGAATAAGTAAATAATATCTTTAAAAAAAAAAAGTTATGAGCCAGATGGGGCAGTTAGTTAAGCTCAAGTCTTGATCTGAGTCATGAGTTTAAGCTCCACAATGGGCTCCACACTGGGCATGGACCCTATTAAAAGTAAAATTAAAAAATAAATAAAATAGAGTTATGAGACAGAATGTAAGTGACCTGAGAAATGTCAAGAAGCAAAGGTCCAAAGACTAGGCCTGGGAGGTGGGGAGGAGCACTCCAAAGTTTAGAGGTTGGGTAGATCAAGAGCAAAATAGCCTGGAAAAGAGTGTGCAAGGAAGTAGAAATAAGAGAGGTATCCAGGAAGTCAGGTGAAAAAAGTGTTTCAGAGAGAAAAGTAATCAACTCTGTCAAATGCCGACGGATCGAGTAAGATTAAACAACCAGTGAGTTTAGCAACATGGCAGTGATGAGTGACCATAAGAGCTATTCTACCAAGAAATGGATTTTTCAGAAGCGCTAAAGCATGAGAAAGGTAAGCTAGCAACTCCAATTAGCTCAGTGATTAAAGTGCAAAGCAGGTGGGATCCCTGGGTGGCGCAGCGGTTTAGCTCCTGCCTTTGGCCTAGGGCGCGATCCTGGAGACCCGGGATCGAGTCCCACGTCGGGCTCCCGGTGCATGGAGCCTGCTTCTCCCTCTGCCTGTGTCTCTGCCTCTCTCTCTCTCTCTCTCTCTCTCTCTCTCTCTCTCTCTGACTATCATAAATAAATAAAAATTAAAAAAATAATAATAATAATAAAGTGCAAAGCGGGTAACGAGTCTGACAGATTAGGCTGTAAGGGAGACGGAGGGGGAGAATCATACTGAAGAATCTGGATTTGATCCTGAAGATGAAGTAGAATAATGACATAACCATCTTTACTTCATACAATATTTTGGAGGCAAGAGTGAGGATGGGTTAGGAAAGGAGAAAGAATGAAGCCAAGTTAGAAGTTAACTCTTCCCCCCCCCCCCAAAAAAAAAGAAGTTAACTCTTCCAAGGGGAAAATTAAGGAGGGCCTGAATTTGGGGCTGGGGATGCAGAGGAGAAGGCACAGAGAACTAAACCGAGAAAACATCAGGAAGGTACATTAGAAAAGATGCCGGGTTTGTGCAGAGGAGAAAGGACAGGAGAGGGTTTAACTTCCTTCTAAATGGCAAGAACCCTACACACACTCCCAAAAATCTTCCTTCAGAACCACTCCCCACGTTCCGACTTGGAAATTCTCCAACTAAACAGTCATTCTGGAGGTTTCTGTCTCATGCGGCTTCATTTAAAATTGGAAAACTCCTGAGATTTTCAACATATTAAAACTGTTTCACACTAAGGAGTCCTACACCAGGCCCTGAACCTTCCTCAGACTAGGACAGGTTTGGGGGGTTGAAGACGGGGAGGAGCTACAGGACAGGAAAAGATGAACCCAAGGTTCTGAAGGTCCTACCCATCCTTGTCAGGCCGAGCTGGCCACGGGGATTCCCTTCCCTCGGAGGCCGAGGCGTCCTCACGGTCTCCGCGTGTGAGTGAACGACACCTTCGTTCCCCGACCCTTGTCCCGCCTCTTAACTTTTCCTCCCAGTCATTTCCGGCCCGTTTCCACCTTCCCTAAACCATCACTCCAGCTGGCCTGTCCACCCTCCTCACCTGAGCCCCTCTCTCCAAACACTGACTCCAGGGCTTGGAGATGGTAACTAGGGAACCGGAGGGGGGGAACTGCATCCTGGGACAAGTAGTCCTAGAGAAAAGAAAGCAGTGGGAAACTACAATTCCCAGAAGACACTTCCTTTTCCTCCACGAGGCCCCCCCTCCACGCCACCCCTCCTTTTAAAGACCCTTTTAGCCACGTGGCTTGTATGGGAAAAGCCTTTTAAAGCTATTCGTCGTTTGTTTAAACCCACTATTTCGAGGGCATTCCGAAGGTGAAAGCGAGAAACAAGTCCAGGATAGAGAGGAGGAAGGAGTTTCATTCCCCAGGCAGGCACGTGGCTAGACAGCCGCCGTGGCAGCAGTCCGGCGTTCGGCGTGGTCGCCTAGGAGGTGGGGCCTCCGGCGGGGGCGCCAGGAAACCCCGTGGGCCGGCGCGTAGCTTTCCTTTCCGATCGGCCATCTGCGGTGAGTGTGTGCTCTTGGGCCTGTCTCCCGCCGGCGGCCTACCCCGTGCCCTCCTCTGCGTCCCCAGGCCTGACCCTACTCTTCCTCTTTCTCCGCCTCAGGTGGAACCGCCGCCAAGATGCAGATTTTCGTGAAGACCCTTACGGGGAAGACCATCACTCTCGAGGTAGGGGCCAGGTGGCGTGAGGACGCCGAGGCCGGAATCGGGCCTGAAGTGGAGTCAGGGGCCCGGGCGGCCTCCCGCCGTCCAGTGTGTTTATGAGCCTGGGTGCTGAGGGCGGGTTGCCGGTGCCTGAAGTGTGGGCTCGCACCTCTCCCGTGGAGGCGGCCAAAGCCGGGGCCCGCGGTGGGGGAGGGGCGCTCCCTGCGGACGGCGCGAGCGCGTGTGGTGCGGCCCGGTGGGCTCTGGCCCCGGGCCCGGGTTCAGGAAGTGCCCGCCCGCAGCGGGCCCGGGGCGGCCGCCCGCCGGGGTGACTGGCCTGCTCCGCCGCGTGGGCTTGGCCCGCCCCCGACCGGGCTCTGGGCTAACTAGCAAATGGGAGTGGGCGTTTGTTGCAGTTTCTGTGTTATCGATGCGTTTGCATTTTTAAACTCCTAGGTTGAGCCCTCGGATACGATAGAAAATGTAAAGGCCAAGATTCAGGATAAGGAAGGCAAGTAGTGTTTTCTGGCTTAAGAGGAATCCGGCTCTGCGGGCGCCCGCTTACCTACCGCGCTTACCTGCTGGCGGGGTGGGAAGAGGCGGGTGGGCCGACGGAAGTGCTTTTGAAACGATGTTTGTGAGCATGGGGCCAACCAGGGATGCTCTTGGCCTGTGGATTTGGGGAGCTGTTTCATTCTCTAGGCCTGTTACATCTGTAAGACGAAGGCGATGTTAACATGTATGACGTTTTGTCCTGGGGTTTAAATAAGGCCAATTGTGCAAGCATTTAAAATCCCGCCGCCTAGCGTAGAGTAAGAACTCCGTGACGGCTGTTAATACCCTTTGATTAAGGATTATTTATAATAATCGTAGGCAGATGCGCGCCTTCTGATGTGACTTGATCTTTGTTGTTTATTAGGAATCCCTCCTGATCAGCAGAGACTGATATTTGCTGGCAAGCAACTGGAGGATGGCCGTACTTTGTCTGACTACAACATTCAAAAGGTCTGTTTGGAGGGAAGAGCAGTCCTTTATTTTTATTGTTTTTATTTATTTTTTTTAAGATTTTTATTTATTCATGAGAGAGAGACACGCAGGCTCCACGCAGGGAGCCCAACGTGGGACTCCATCCCGAGTCTCCAGGACCACGCCCTGGGCTGAAGGCTGCGCTAAACCGCTGAGCCCCCCGGGCGTCCCAAAAGCAGTCCTTTAAATGTAAATCTTAGTTTGTGACTTTTGACCAACACATAATTGGGGGAGAACAACATAAGATTAGCAACAGATTGCCAGGTAACTCTCCTGCAGTAACACTTCAGAAACACTGCTATAGTTTTTCCTCTTCTGGATTTTGTATACTGTGTCCTGTGGTGTGCCTGAATGTGTTCCTTAATCTCCCTATAAACCGGTAGATAACTTGAAAACCTGCTTATCTGTGATGTTGTGTACTTATCGCTGTGTGATGCTAGTTGCTCCTTACTTAGTGGAATATGAGCATTAGTTACTCTAAAGCCTATTTCATCCTCTTCCTTTAATAGGAGTCCACTCTTCATCTTGTGTTGAGACTTCGTGGTGGTGCTAAGAAAAGGAAGAAGAAGTCTTACACCACTCCCAAGAAGAATAAGCATAAGAGAAAGAAGGTTAAGCTGGCCGTCCTGAAATACTACAAGGTGAGCCAACTTCATAAAAATGTTTTTATCTGTAAACTGATTTTGTTTACATTGCTAGTTTCAAGCTTTCTACAAAAGTTTTGTTTGGTATAGTTTCATATGGTAGGTTCACTTTTAGCTACTTGTTCCAAACTAAAATTCTGGTGAAGTCAGATGTAGGGTTTAGGTCTTGGCTCTGTCCACCACCTGCAAGGCTGGACTTCAGTGGGCTCTGAACTGTTTTGTTGTAGTAATTACTGGTGAGGATTTGGAGTGCTTTGGTTTTTAAGTACAAAAGACCACCACTGTTTCGTGATTTTAAAGGGAATATTTTGATGAGCCAGTTAACTTAGACTTCAGAATATGTTGTGAAATTATCTTAACAGCAGATTTCCACTTTTTAGGTGGACGAGAATGGCAAAATCAGTCGCCTTCGTCGAGAGTGCCCTTCAGATGAATGTGGTGCTGGAGTTTTTATGGCTAGCCACTTCGACAGACATTATTGTGGCAAATGTTGTCTGACCTATTGCTTCAACAAACCAGAAGACAAGTAATTGTATATGGATTGATAATAAAAGAAGTGAACTGATAACATTTAATTGTTGAGTTTTGTTCTAGTGACTTAAAAGATTGGTTTTAAGTATCAAATTGATGACCACACTATTTTGATAGACTGTATATACTTTGGCAGAAGAATTAGGATTGTATTTAAAATGAACTATCTAGATACAAACGAGCTTACGTTTCTATCAGTTTTTTATGTCAGCACTATTGAAATTTTGGACTAGATAATTCTGTTGTGAAAGGCTGTCCTGTGCATAATGGCCTGTACTCCTCTGATGCCAGTAGCATAGACCTATTCCTACCAGGTATATCCAGACTTGACAAATGATCCCTGGGGTGATGAGAAGGGGAGAGCTGCCGTTCCATCCCCACTTTGAGAAACACTGATTTGTATGAATTGGTGTTACAAGTCTTCCCTAAACAAGGACTATGACCTTTTGTTTCATATATAATAAATGTAAAGGCTAAGCGTTCAGTACTCCATTCAAGAAGTCATCCTGAGTCCCTGGGGTTTGGCTGGGATATATGTTGTCCACAGTACAAGTGAACCTTCAATGTTGAGTGTGAAATCTTGGGAATTTTAAACACTTTGTTCACTAGTACTATTAACATCGAGAAATAGTTTCAGGCAGTATTTGGCACCATATTTTTTTGCCCATCACCTAATTCAGGGAGGTTTGCTTATCTTGGTAACACTCAACTAAAACATGCAGTTGAAGTTTAATATAAAAATTATTACATTCAATGGCATACCAATAAATTCTCTTATAAAATTCTTTCCAAGATTTCTTCTTCCTTGGAGGTATCATCCTTAAATAAGGTTTCCTATTTCTGTAGCATTTTGACAAGTTAACCATGTTAACACTTGGTTTAACTCTAGGGTATCTGACCAGCAGTGTTGAATTCTTCCCTTCAAAACTAGTTGTTCTCTATGATTAAGCAAGACATCTGTTTATATTTTTTAGTTTATTTTTTGAAGTAATCTCTGCCCAGCATGGGGTTTGAACTTTGAGCCCAAGAGTCACATGTTCTACCAACTGAGCCAGTTGGGCACCTCATTACTTGTTTACATTTTTAATATAATTTTAAAATCCTGGATCCCAAGAAGTCTTGCCTGGAACTTCTTTTTCTTCATAACAAATAATTTCATCTCCCACTTTAAATTCTATCTTTTCTTCACTCAAACTGAGACCACAGTCCATTCCACTTTTGATGACTGAAATATCATCTTTATGGTGTTTCAATGAGGTTAATGAACCTTAAGAAAATACAAAAAAAAAAAACAAGGTACATAATATATTCAACAAATAGTACCTACTAAGTGCTATGTTGTCTGGTAGTAAAAACACTGAAGCTTTATATTTTATAGTACCATGTTATATGATGGAACTAAACACTAGGGAAACCAAAGACAAAAGGTTTGCTGTAAACTAAGATTTGGTTTATAGCAAAAGATAACTAAATATCCCATTTCAAAGGTAGGCTAACTGCAGAGGATGGCATTATACTCAGGACTTAAATGAGATAAACCTTATAAAAGACTGCAGGCAAAAGGTCAAGTTAAAGGATGGAGGTAAGCAAATATGCTGGAGAAAAGTCTAGAATACAGAGCTGGAAAGGTGGTTTGGGGCCAATTTTTAGAAGCCTAAAACTTAGATTACTGATTTATCAGGATTATCATTATAGGTTATTATTAGACTATCAGAATTTGTAAGGGAGGGAGCCTGTCGAGACCACATTTGAGTTCATAAGAAGGAATGGCCTGAACCAGGAAATGGGAATGCAAGCCAGATTTCAGATGATGACACAGAATTAGCAGGTTTTGGTGACTGGATCAGATATCAATTTGAAACAGATTGTGATGTTGCTTACCCTTCCAAATAACATCTCTGTTACGGATTAACTTAAATTTTTTTTGTTTTTCTAACTGTCCCTTTTGGACTCTGCAGCCGGCCACAGGAACTTTTTTCTTTCCTTCTGTTACAGTGAAGGTAGCTAGTATAGAAGCCTCACCTTAAGAAAGAAGAGAATATAGAGTGCACAGAAAATAAGATTCTGAAAAACACATAATTTCACACATTCTGCACAATAAGTGTGAAAAAACAAACTCATGCCTTGAAAGAAGTTCAGGTTTTCTTTGACTCTGCTAACTTTATTTTCCTGACCACTATTAGAAACGTGAAATCCCTGGGTTTTGTTGGAAAAGAAAATTGTAAAAACACGTTTCCCAAAAGAATGAAGAAAAGTGGAATTCATTTTTTTTCAGCTGAATAAAATGCACTAGAAGAGAACAGTTTACTGTCTGCTTCATTAAAAACCTGGTTTTCAGCTATCCCTCAATGTATTTTCTCAAAGAGATCATCTGTTGTTACCTGACTTATTTTTAATCTCCCCATTAGTAATTTATATCCATTTAAGAGTACTATTCTGTAACTCTTAATTTTTCACTTAAAATTTAATTTTACAACAATGACTACTATCACACTATCACATACCATTTACTGACGTGTTATCTGGTTCCTAGAAACCCTTGTAGGACTCAAAAGTTTTCCAAATTGTGCAAGAATATATAAAACTATGGTCATGTTTATTAGCAGGTCCGAAAAATATTAAAATCTCTGGGCCACAAGAACAGATAAAATGATTCAATCCATCTCAAATACATTTAGGCTTCCATCTGGCTAAGGGATATGCTAGAAAGCAAAATTTTAAATATGTGATACTTTAAAGTAAACTTTCTTGTCATGGTGGATTTCTCTGCCAGCTTCCAGGACAAAAATCAATGGCTCCTAGGTACCTGTGTGGCTGAGTCTGCCTTTGGCTCAGATTGTGATCCCAGGGTCCTGGGATAGAGTCCTATATCAGACTTCCCCGTAGGGAGCCTGCTTCTCCTTCTGCCTATGTCTCCCTGTGTGTTTGTGTGTGTGTCATGAATAAGTAAATAAAATCTTTTAAAAATAAAATCAATGGCTCCTTCCACAACATATATAATCTTTATCCCTCCCATCCCAGTCTAATTTGTACTACAATCGGTTGTTGATGTCTAAACTTTAGGACAAGTTCTTACCGCCTTATTTGCCTTTGTATCCCTCAGGGCAGAAGTATAACATGTTGCAGATGGCAGGCATGAAGAAGAAGTTAGACTGAATAGATCTACAGTAGTCATTTTTTTTCTAGAACACAAGGCTATACTTTGCTTGCAAATGTCATTTATAGCACCTAAGATATGAATGTTTAACATTCAGTAAACACGCACCTATTGGATTCTCTTCCACAGTGCAGGGCAATCTGAAGCTCAGTTCCTCCTGCACATCTTCAATCAGACGGTAAATGATTTTGTGAAGCCTAATTTTTACTCCTTTTTTTGCAGCAGACTGCTGGATAACATTGCCCGCATTCACATTGAAGCCATATATAACACCTGGCAAGCAAACGATCGATAAAGTAGCACAAATACTGCATTAAATAAACACTTTTCTTTCAAGCAGCAACTCAAATCTAAATTTTTTTTTTAATTTTTTTTTTTAATTTATTTATGATAGTCACACAGAATGAGAGAGAGAGGCAGAGACACAGGCAGAGGGAGAAGCAGGCTCCATGCACCGGGAGCCCGACGTGGGACTCGATCCCGGGGTCTCCAGGATCGCGCCCGGGGCGAAAGGCAGGCGCTAAACCGCTGCGCCACCCAGGGATCCCCAAATCTAAATTGTCTTATTTCCTTCTATGTAAATTAAAAGCGAGTAGGGGAGAGGAGAAATTCTATAATTTTCCCAGGAAACTAGCATATTTTCAAATTACAAAGGATTTTATAAATTCTACTATGCCTTGTTTAATAAAGGAAAATTTCTTCACAATTTTTAAATCCAACTATTTAAGAGACAAAAGTGCCCATAGTATGCAAGGCAGCATTCTAAACAAAACTTTGGTTTTTATACCAGAGAAATAAGAAAAAACTGATTAGGGGTAAAACATTATTACATTGTTTTAATAACAATTGTATTACTAAATTATAATCTTATTGTCTACAACTTTTTGTGGTTTACTCATAAGTATTCAACTGGCCAAAAGATGCGCAATAATAGTTATTTAATTGGTAACGTTCAAAAAGTTATTTAAGAAATGAAAGAAGTTCCCTGGAGCTAACCATTTTACCAAAGAATAACGTATTTAGGGGCGCCTGGATGGCTCAGTATGTTGAGTGTCTGTCTGATTCTTAATTTTGGCTCCCATCAGGATTTCAGGGTGGTGGGATGGAGTTCTGCCCTCAGCAGGGAGTCTGCTTCTCTCCTCCCCCTGCCTCTCCCCTTGTTCACTCTCTTTCTTAAATAAATAAATCTTCTTAAAAAATAATAATAACTACAAATACTTTGGAGGAAATAAAAAAGCAAAACACTCTTGCCTTAAATAAGTGAAACAAGGCAATGCTGACAAGAGAAAAACACAACCATCTTCAAAGTCTTATCATTAAGAAATCATTCAAAACACTATCTACATTACATAACAAAGTGCTAGGCTAATCAGTGCCTAGAAAATACTTGGAATTAGCATTACAGAAAATACCTTTTCAGTAGTAGAGGTAACATCTAGTTCTATTTTTTTTTTTAAAGATTTTATTTATTTGAGAAAGAAACAGAGAGAGAGAAGGAGCTGGGAGAGGGGCAGAGAGTGAGGGAGAAGCAGGCTCCTCACTGAGCAGGGAGCCTAACATGGGGCTGTATCCCAGGACCCCAGGAACATGACCTGAGCCAAAGGTGGACGCTTAACCAACTGAGCCATCCAGTCACCCCAACATTTAATTATAATCAAGTCCAATCATGAAGTACCTAAGTGATTCATTAATCACTCAATAAAATGTTGGTGCTTTGCTAGGTGACTTCGTTAAAGTGACAGTCATGAGTCACCTTTTTGTATGTAAGTTCAACTAATAAACAGTCCCCTTGCCTTCTTACGTAAAGTTAAAATCAGTGCTTGCTTTGGCAGCACATACACTAAAGCTAAAAACAGCTTTTCATCTAAGACATGATTTGTAAAATTACCAATTAATAGAAAATAGACAAAAATAAGATAAAGTACTGAACAAGCTGATAACAATGTTAGGAGCATTCAAAAGTCTAAATAAAAGATACAGAGAACTAATCTTGGATTGGGTGGGGAGCTTGGAGGGGGCAGAGGACAGTATCTTCAAAAAAAAGGAAAAAACAAGGGTATGAAAGAGTTGCTCAAGGTTGCAGTGCAGTGAAATGAGTGGAGCTATGGCTGCAATACTGCACATCCCATTCGGCTCCATGGTTGGGGCTCAGCTACAGCAAGAAGGGGATGTTCATAAGAGTAAATGGCAGGTCGACTAGCCAAGCAACAAAAGACAGAAGCAAATGGTTCACAGTGTGTTCTGAGGAACACAGTTAAACAAAAAGGAAAGAGAATTCTTACCATGAAATGTTTCAGCAAGGTTAACATCATTTTCACTGACATCACCCACACCAAAGTGTACTAATTGGAGTTCACACTCATGTGAAGCGTCATAGGTATTCATAATGTTCACAATGGCCTCCACGGAACCATCAACATCACCTAAATGCAGCAAAAGTTTAAAATGACTGGTTTTAAGAGGCATTAACAAACACAAAAACAACACAAATCTATCTAAAGCCATAACAGGAATGCCATTTACCACTAAATCCACCTGGAATTAGGTTTAGCATTATAAATATCTATTTAATTTAATAAAGTTTAATGAACCGAACATACATTTTTTTTTTAAAGATTTTATTTATTTATTCATGATAGTCACACAGAGAGAGACAGAGAGGCAGAGACACAGGCAGAGGGAGAAGCAGGCTCCATGCACTGGGAGCCCGACGTGGGATTCGATCCCAGGTCTCCAGGATCACGCCCCGGGCCAAAGGCAGGCGCCAAACTGCTGCGCCACCCAGGGATCCCCCAAACATACATTTACAACAAAATCAGCAAGAAAAATATTTGGCTCAGGTTGTGATCCCAGGGTCCTGGGATCGAGTACCGCATCTGTCTATGTCTCTGCCTCTCTCTCTGTGTCTGTCATGAATAAATAAAGAAAATCTTTAAACAACAACAAAAAATCTACCCCAGTGAGGGATGTGCAAAAAGTTTGAAGGAGGGCAAAGGTACAAACTTCCAGTTATAAAATGTGTAAGTCATGAGGATGTAACATACAGTCTAGTGACTATAGTTAATAACACTAAATTACACATTTGAAAGTTACTAAGAGAGCAGATCTTAAAAGTTCTCATCACAAGAAAAAAATGTTTTGTAATTATGTATGGTGATAGATGTTAACTAGACTTAACTGTGGTGGTCATTTTGCAATATATACTAATATCAAATCATTATGTTGTATACCTGACATTCACATAATATTGTATGTCAATTATACCTCAATTAAAAAAAAATCTCCCCCAGGGCACCTGGTTGGCACAGTCAGTTAAGTGTCTGACTCTTGGTTTTGGCTCAGGTCATGATCTCCTGGGACCATGGGTTGTGGGATCCAGCCGTATGCTGGGTCAGTGCAGAGTCTGCTGAAGTTTCTTTCTGCCCCTCTCCAACATGCTCTCTCTCAAAAAAAAAAACCTTAAAAAAAAAAAAAGACTCCCTCTAAATGCCAAACTATTTTTAGCTTAAATTTAATGGCCCAAATTAATTGCGAGAATGAAGAAATACATATATTCCAGAAATGAGTGTAAAGTAAAATTTTTCCAAAGTCACCTTTAATAATTATAGGAAGTACAGGTGAATCCCTTTCTTCTTTCTCTTTTGGCTTTAAAAGTTTTTGTTCTTTTTTTTCTTGATACTTTAGAAATGATCTCTCCTTCCAGTGCAAAGTGCCATACTTCTCACGGGCTTTCTGATGTGCTTCTTGGTGTTCCTTTCGCTTTTCTTCTATTATTTTCAGATCCTCTTTATTTTTCTCCTGTTCTTGCTCATACTTCCTCCAGTCAACAACTGCACGTGCCCTTGGCTTCACAGGGAAAAAAACAGGTATTATTTAACTAAATAAAAACCAGTAACTTATGGGTTAAAAGCTTTGTGTTTTTCCCCAACTTTAGCTTTCTTAACTCATACATGAAGCTACTAATTCCATAAATTTCAGGAAATTTTTATAAAACTTTAATCTGGGGATTTTGTGTATAACAGCTGATCTAATTTAAAAATATTACCTCAAATTTAAAATAATTCTATAGCCAAATTCTAAAATGGCATTATTAGTGTCTCATAGGCCCTTATAGTCTACAACTATTTGTTAAATAAATATACTTACTTGGTATAACACTATAGATTAATATTTATAATCACTGAATCATATCTAATATATAGGAATTAAGCTTGATATACCTCAGATTCTACTTCAAGAATTTCATCTCCTGCAGAAGGGAGGTCTCTCCAGCCTACAATTCCCACTGGCATGCTGGGATAGGCCTCTTGGATTGGTTTTCCATTCTCATCAAACATTAAGCGTACTTTTGCCCAACTCTTTCCAGCAACCAGAATCGAGCCTTTCCTCAAAGTTCCTCTTTGAATTATAGCTGTAGTAACGGGACTAAAATGAAAATAAACGTATATATTCTTACTGACATAATCAGAATCTAAGAACACTTTCTTAAGTAGAGCAAAGATCTTTATGAGCCTTAAATATATATAATATGTACACAAGGGCTAAATTTCTCAAGCACTTTTTCACTACAGAAATAGTTCTACTTAATTGCCAAAAGGTAGAAGCAAACCAAATGTCTATCAATTGAAGAACAGAGATAATGCAGTATATACACACAATGGAAAATCATGCAAGCTTTAAAAAAAGGAAAGCCCTGTCATATGCTTCAACATGAATGAACTTAACTCAAGAACATTATGCTAAGTGAAATAAGCCAGCCAAAAAGGACAAACACTGTATGATTCTATTCATACGAAGTGTCTAAAGTAGTCAAAATCATAGAAAAAGAGAATTGAAAGATAGTTGCTAAGGGTTGGGGGGAGGTAGGAGGGGAAATTAGGGTTTCATGGGTGTAAGGGTTTCAGTTTTACAAGATTAGAAAGTTCTAGAGATTTTTTGTATAACAATGTGAATATATTCAATACTATTGATCTATACACTTAAGAATGGAAGAATGGTTAAGGTGGTAAATTTAATGTTATGCTTCTTTTATCACACTTTTCTAAAATAGGAAAAACAGGGATCCCTGGGTGGCACAGCGGTTTAGCGCCTGCCTTTGGCCCAGGGCACGATCCTGGAGACCTGGGATCGAGTCCCACATCAGGCTCCCTGCATGGAGCCTGCTTCTCCCTCTGCCTGTGTCTCTGCCTCTCTCTCTCTCTCTCTCTGTGACTATCATGAATAAATAAATAAAATCTTAAAAAATAAAATAAAATAGGAAAAACAAAAACTAGTTCTTACAAACTAATGATAGTGAAGGCTGCAGATAGCTGCGTGTTCTGAGAGAATCCTAATCCTCTTTCTGTAACTAATTTGTTAAGCAGTGAAACGTTTTGCTGATAGGGAGAAAAATTAAAGAAGAGAAGAGCAATGCAAAGACCTTCCTATATATTATATTAATGAGTAAGGACATAAAGAATTTAGGAATCCTAAAATGCAAAAATTGCTATTTCATTCCAATTTGTTGGTCTATACGGCTTTATTTACCAATCCAGGAAAACCAGTGGGGAAAAAATTCAAGCAAACTGGACTACTCACCTCATCTAAGACTAGTAGATACATACAGATAGTTGCTATGGTCTACCGATAACTGCATTTTTGTGTTCTGTGTGCTAGTGCAATAAATCCTTTTCAAAACAAATGCTTTGAAAATACTGTTCATGTCTAATAATAATATACAATAAAAATAATACTTATTTAATCAAGTCACAAAAACAACAAAAATAATTATTAAAAAGCAAGCATTTTAACAGTCCTACCCTCTTCCTTTGTCTGTGAAAGATTCTATTACTGTTCCTTCTACTGGACCAGTGGGGTCTGCTTTCAATTCTAACATTTCTGCCAACGCAATCGTTGCCTCTGCCAAAGCCATCAGATTATCACCCTTCAACAACAATAAAAAGGCTTTAATATACAATAATAAAATATTATCTGAAATTTAAATATCAGGGTCAGAAAGCCAAATAATCCTTCATAGTTATATTATACTTTTAAGTATTAAAATTATGAATCATCCAATTAGAAAGGAAGCAAGGAAAAGAGGAAGGGAGGGAGGAAGGCAGGAAAGAACAAAGCAAAGAAAAGCAGAAAACCTGATCCAGGGATAGGTCTATCAAGGAAGAAAAGCTATTTTATTAAAAGCATTGCCATTATTGGTACTTGTTAATACCCTTTTATAAATACTTCATTCATTCTCTCTCCTCCATCTGTCTCTGTAATTGTATCTTCTTCCTCTCACTTTCTTTACAATGCTACTTTGCATTTGAAGTTCTAACTGAAGAAGCTTTCATATCTATTATTTCATTTGACCAACTTAAGAATGCTATAAAATAAGTAAACCAAACATTACTTACTCTTGTCAAATAAATAAGGAGAAAAAGTACAGACTAGACTCTAAGACACACTCTGTAATCACCGAGCTGTGCAACCTTGAAGAATCACTTCACCTCCCTCAACCTCCTTTTCTCAACTGTAAAATGAGGAAGCTAGATTAGATGATTGTTTCACCTTTAATGATCTATGTTCACTATGCTTTCTAGGGTTCCAAGACCACACAGCTGATTAAGTAGCGATGGAACTGGAACTGATATGCAAGGGACTTTTCCATTCTCTGCGTCAGCTAAGAGATGGCTCAGTTGTCAGAGTATAAAACAATGGAGACAAGTGTAAACAAAGCTGATGAAATACTCTACTCACTCATCCACTTATTACTAGTATCTATTTCAATTTACAAAATGCTGCTGTGCAAAGCAGAACTGGAGTATTTCTTTGCATCAAGGGTCCTCTATCTCTACTTGGAAAAAAAGGATTCATCTTACTTCCTGCCACTTCCTCCCAATTGCTTCCATTTCCCAGGAATCATCTCTGCCATGCCTCCAAGTTTGCCTAAGCAGCATCTCCTGATATCTGGGCAGAAAAGATGATCATGTCTTCAAATGTTTTAATCTTGTCATATAGCTTTCAGAGTGCAATGGCAATTGAGGTATAGTGGAAAGATAAAACAAGGTGGCATATTATGAATTTCACAGAAAAAGAAACATGGCTTTACTATTGATGGAGGCATGATTAGTGAGCATTTTAGAGGTAACAAATTTAGGAAATCTAAAGATAAAATGAGACTTAACAAGAGGGAGGTGGCCAAATATAGTGCCATCCCTTCAGTGAATGATGAGGAAAATAAAGTATAATATATTATGCATAAACCATGGAATATGGTAAGACAAAAAACGAAATTGTTACTTAGCAGCAAACTGCTTATAAGAGAACTGGAAAATGATGTCACAAAGCAGGTGTTTTTCAATCAAAAAGAATCAGAAAAGAAAAATTGCAATCAGAAAAGACCATTTCAATTAGAAAAGAATAATTGGTCATTTGAAAGAAAAGGAATTTAAAAGAAAATGGAATTCACCATAAATAACATAAAACCTACAGCAATCTAATCCATAAAAACACTGAATCAATCAATAACAAACTGAACTCAAATGTTTTATCTTTGTATTAGTGAAATTTTTGTTTAAATCCTCATTAAATACCCTAAGACCTTTTCTATGTTTTTTCACTATAAAAACAAGTACTTACTATAAATTAGATTTCATTTCTGTTTAAAACAGTCTTCAGCAGCTTACTATCACCCTATCCACATCATTTACCATTTATTCCCATTCTTAAGTATTTCACAATAAGAAAAGCATTAGGTCTGGACTTGATCCCCCACTGTTCAGCTATGTAACCCTGGACTGGTGACTGACCTTTCTGAGCCTAATTTCTAATCTGCCAAACCAAGACGATACCAGCTTTGCCTAATACTACAAAGGATTTTTAAACAACAGAAATTATATGTATCAAAATGCTGTTTATGTGCACTACATGCATTATATACAACAGGCCCATCTGAACATATCAGCTCCTAAGTGCCTGCATTTACCGTGACTGCAGAGATGTGCACTGCTTGGACATCGCCTCCATAATCCTCACACACCACATCATAAGCTAGCAGTTCTTTCTTCACTTTTTCAGGATCAGCCTCAGCTTTGTCACATTTGTTTATGGCAAGTACTATAGGAACTGAAAGACAGGTAAAATGAGTGCAGATGAGGACACCTTCAACTCCAGGTATTGACAATGAAAAGCATCAATCTTTTCTGGCTTTCTCTTTACTCAATAGATGTACTCAACTAAGAGATCTAAAAAAAAAAAAAAATCTGCTTCAGACACTCCCTACACTGCTTTCTGCACATAAAGGATTCTGGATGTGAAATGACAAAACTATAATTATAAACAGATTCTGAGTTAAGAATAGATACCTAAGATGATAATAAACAAACAAAATACAACATTTTGAGTAAAGAAAGGCCTATCTTTAAACCTGCATGTAAGATCAGCAACTATACTAAAGATAATCTCCAGAAAAAAAATCAAGAGAAGATTCTCATCTAATACTAAACCACTAGATCATTTGCCTCTTCTTTCCAGGAGCTATTAAGTCATTGTTAAAGCCTAACATCTCACCCTGGAGTGACACAAAGGAGCATTGTTGTAAACTTTCTCTTAGGATTTACAGCAACTCTTCATTCATACACACTTACTTTAGTGACTGACTCATAGTAGATTCTCAATAAACATTTGCATAATGAATGAACCAAATAATCATATAATCTACTTGTCAATATTAAACATACCCTCCCATTAGAGAAATCAGATAAAATGCTAGGAGATAATTCTCTGGTTGAGTTTCAACAACTTTTGCAATTTTCTCAGGTATCAAAAGAAATTGAAAACAGACACAAAAAAGTTATACAATCCACAATGTACTATTAGAAAAATTACATTGCATATGGATGAGCTAAAATTTAACAAAGACAAGAGAATTAGAAGAATTAGGTACAGGAAGCATGCTTGTAAGAAATTTACCCTATCACAACCACCTGCTTTGTTATGGGAATCCCTGACAAATTTATCACTCTCTTCCTTTTGTTATAGTTCCTCAAATCATTAAGAACATAGTCCATTCCACAAAGGCAGTTTTGAGGAATTAAAAAGGAAAAAGAGTAACCCTGGAAACTAAAAGGCCAGATTCCCAATTGTGTACATGATGAAAAGTAAGTGTAACTGGAGGCAGTTCCTGTCATTCTCTGGTTCTTAAGTTTTCATGCTGTAAGAAAAGAACTGATCTAGAGTGTGATTGTCAACCTTTCTTTTTTTCTCTTGCCAACCAACCTAGGGGAATAGGATGTACTCTCCATCAGGTACATTTTCTGCTATCTCAAGATATTTTTTCAGTGGGCATAGGGTTTACATCAGAGTAAGAATGAATGTACAAAGTATATGTGTGGGAGGGTGGCTATTACTACAGTTTTTAAATGAAAAAGAAAGCGAGAAGATAGCTAAGTAATTTTCTAAAAGTTTCAATTTTACACCTTTGACCAAATAAGAACTTATTTAAAGGACAGGAAGGAAAAGTTTCTCTTTAGAGAAGAATTCCGGCAATAAATGAACAAGGAATAACAGAAACAGAATATCACCACATTACAACTCCTAATGTATTTAGGTGATAGGTACACAGGAGTTCATTATTCTATTCTTACTTTTAGAACTCAAATTTTCCAGGATAAAAAGGTTTTTTAAAAAGTCATTTAAAAACAATTAAATTCTCACATCATGCCAAGTAAGTAAACTGTATTGGAAGGACTGTATTTGTGATCCCAGGTCCACACATGAATCCTACTATACCCTTTTTAGTAGTTATGTCTGTGGAAAAACAATTCAACTGTCCCTGAGCCTTATCTCTTCACAAGTATAATAATCCTGGGATTTCCAGGAAGATGAAAGGGCCCCAGAATAGTGACTCTACATGCTGGATCCTTTTTTAAAAAAAAAAAAAAAAACAAAACAAAAAAAAACTTCCTTCCTGACACCTAAGTCAGCCACACGGTACCTTGAGCATCTCTGGCATGCTGAATAGATTCTACAGTTTGTTTCATCACTCCATCATCTGCAGCTACAACCAATATAACAATGTCAGTGACCTGAGCACCTCTGGCTCTCATTGCTGAGAAAGCAGCATGTCCTGGAGTATCAAGAAAGGTTATCCTTTCCCCAGAAGGCAGAGAGACTGTGGAAACAGAAATCCAAGCACACCATGGACTCAAATATGTACTTTCTTAATACAAAGGAATATATGTGAAATTATCAAACAGAATCAATAATTCTTTAAAATAATTTATTCCTTCTGTTAACCTTAATCAGGAGCAATACAGATCATCATTTCACACTGAGAAATGTAACAACACAGTGAAATCTTTAGTGTTTTCTTTTCATGTAATAAATTCAAACTAAAATTCCTCCTATTTCTAGAATATGCTTTTCAAAAATGTACCAATTGGTATCTAATCTGGAGACCAACAGCTATATAGGCAATTCTCCCCTTCATTAGCAAACATAAGTTGCACAACTGCCTTAAGCAACAAAGGCAATATAGTATACAGTTAGGAGCTAAGGATTTGAGCCCAAACTCAGCCTCAAGTATAAATCTTGGCTTTGCCACTTACTAGCTGTGTACCTTGAATGAGTAATTTAATCTGCACAAGCCTCAGCCTCCTCATCTATAAGTAGGAATATTAATACCTACCTTGTGATGTCGGTGTGAAGGTTAAAAACATAAAACATATAAATAAAATGCTCACCACAGTGCTGGGCACATGCTAGGTGCTCAGTAAAAGGTAGCTGTTATTTAATTATTACTAACAACATTATCACAATCTAGCATTGAAGAATTGTAGGTTCATTAAAAAAAAAACCAAAAACTAAGAATGAGCCAGAATAAAAAAGATAATATAATTTTCTTCTTATACAATGTACAATATAAGCTTTATGAAACCACCTGCTCTATACTTCATCAGACCAATGACTTTAAGCTTTAGGCTTCCCTTTTATTTGAATTTGTCTACCTCATATTATGACACTTTGGTTTAAAAAAATAGTATGTGGGGTTCCCAGGCACATTGTAAGGTAATGTGTGTTCATACCAAGAAAGGCACCAATGTGCTGAGTGATGCCTCCAGCTTCCATTGCTGCCACTTGAGTTTTTCGCAGTTTGTCAAGTAACGTCGTTTTCCCATGATCAACATGGCCCATTATAGTAACAACTGGGGACCTTGGGATTAATAAAGCTGGATCTGCCTGAGGCCTATAATTAACAGCAAAGGAGTTTCATTTCTTAAATATCTTTATAGCCAGTGAATTGGTTTGCAGACATCTCTGTAAACTACCATTAACAATAAAACCCAACATTTGGCTTTCATTAGATATAAATACCTTCCTCTTCCATAAGTACAATCAATGAATGACCTATGACAAAATATATAATGACTGCCACGTACAGTTGGCATCTTCATAACAACAAGCACATGGAATAAAATTTTTAAGTTCAGGATCAATATACACACTCGGCAACCTAAGAAAAACAACCTGCAGAGTTTTATAACCTAAATATACTTTATGATGTTTTAAACACTTTGAAGCAAAGTTTATACTCCCATATCATTTTAACTACAAAAAAAAATTTAAGGTATATCTTTCCGTTATAAAATGTGAATAAAACTATACGGTCTCCATCCCCCAATATACATGGTTAAGTTTTACCTTCTTACAGCATCTTTATTTTCTCTGACTTTGTCCTGTTTTAATTTGCTCCATTTTAACTTCATCCTCGTCTTCTTTATTACTTCTTTGATCCACACTTCATCTAAATGTGAGTGTGCTTCTAGTGAATCTATGTCAATATCAGTGTTCATTAAAGCTTCAAATACACAATCTGGGTGGAACAGATAAGACCTTTTAGGATGAGTTAAATGTTCACAAAAATGACCTCTATTAATAAATGTCTATATATAAACAGTACACTCAGTGAGAATAACTATGTGAGCTATTCTTCTAATGTTAACAAATTACAAATAAAGTCAAAGAAAATAATCTTTAAAATGTGATCATTTATATTAAGGACATTACTGCACTCATAAATATTTGAATATTTATGTACCTTATGAATCATCTGAGCCACCAATAAAACATTACATGTTGTACACATTTATACTGAGCAGTTTATCACAGCCTAGTTCTTTGAAAACTTGTGGTTACATATGTCATGCATATATAAATGTGCATATATAATGTGCGTGCATATATAGCTGATTCTCATTATTCACGGTGAGTATGTCCTAAACCCACCACAAATACTGAATTAGCAACTACTAAACCATCACTCCAAGGGGAAATACAAGGTTAGGTTCCTTCAGCTCCTGATCACATCTTCATTAGCCAATCAACACACATTTTGTTTTATGTGTTTCTGTTTCAAGACACCTTATTTAATATATACTGTTGATTCAGTAACATTCAACTCACAGCTAAAAGCCCTAAAACCGGTGCATGAACAAAGTTTGTCTAACTCATGTATTTTCTCTGTAAAGCACATGATAGCCTTCTTGCAGTTAGTAAACAGCACTTCATTTAGCACTCAGCTTAGAGCCAATTTAATCAGCAAAATCAACAAAAAGGATAAAAACGTGAAAACGTTATCACTAAGCCACAAAATGACACTTGTTTGCAACATGAGAGCTAAAGCAAGAAGGTCGAAATTTACATAGTTGAACCTCCGCTAGGAATGTGATTGGGCAACTCAAATTTTTCACTGCTCCACGCGTGTCCAGGAATGACTGTGAAAGCACTGTGAATACTGATTTGGTGGCTACAAGTACATTTTAGAGAATAGGGCAATACAAAATCTCCATATAACAAGGATCAACTGTATGCATATGTGTTGTGTACACACACACACACACACACACACACACAGAGTTTCTCAGAATATACATATGTACAATTTATTTATCTATTTATTTATTTATCCATTTAGGATGTCCAAAAAGTCTTAAAATATAGGAAAAATATTTACTTGGTGTTCTTTGCATTTTATTTAATATACTTTTTTTCATTTCAGTCATATTTCCCTGTAGATGATAAATGAATTTATCTGTGATAATGAAATAAGTAGTTTTATGCTTCTTAACTTTTAATCACCCTTTAAATATGTATTTTGAGCAACAGACAAGAGAGAAAGGCATTCTCAAATAAGCAAAACATTATACAATAAAGAATATCCTATTCACCACTGTGCAGGTAAATGTTTACTCACAAGACTCTCAAAAGAAAAAAAAAAATTTCACTGATTGTTACAGCATTTCCCAACTTCCATTGTGCAAAAACTTCCACTATACCTGATTTCAGCTACCAACATGAAGTCACCAAACACAGAGATGGAAAGAGATGCACAGTAGCATACCATTGTATAGTATTTCTACCATATAGGAACATGGGCGTAAATAACCTCAAGAACACAGAAAATAGCAAAACTCAGTAAAAGAATTAGGAGTGCAGGGGTTCAATGAGTATTTATTACCTTTGTTTATGATTTAATTTTTGTAATGGTTATGTTTACCAGCTCACCTACTTCCTTAGTTAGCAATCGGCTGAAAAACTGGTGCAAGCCAGCCCCACACATCACTGATCCTACTCTGTAATAATGCTAAGATATCCTTTCCTATATATATCCTCACCACATCCTTTCCCAAGAAAACAGTTTAAAAGACTGAAACAGTACAAATTTTCTATATGGATATGCACTAAGAGAACAAAAAATCCATATAAATTATAATGAGGAGAATTATGTTTCTAATAATGCTAAAATCCCTAATAATCCAGTAACTACAGTTTTCCAAGGTTAAACTTATGAAAATAACTTCTACAGAGATAATCTCTTTCCCTCTATACTAAATGCATTTAATGTTAATATATTATTTTATCTTAAATATTTACAGTAGAAATATAGAAAAGTAGAAAAGTACCTAAAACATTTGAACCAGAAATATTACATCTGAAGTTAATTTACCCAGAGGAGGGAAAAAAAAAATCTACTCACAGTGCTAAAATAGTAGTTAAAAATAGTCACCATCTTCTTCTTCCTTTTTTTTTTTTTTTTTTTTTTTTTTAAGTAGGCTCCATGCCCAGCATGGAGTCCAACACGGGGCTTAAACTCAGGACCTTGAAGCTGAGATCAAGAGTCGCAAGTTTAACTGACTGAGCCACCCAGGGGCTCCCTAAATTTTCACCATCTTTAATTTAAATGAGATGAAAATATAACACTAAATAAGCTTCAAATAGATAACTTTTATTTAAATCATGGCATATCAGTTTTGGATCTAGAGCACCCATCTATAGGATTAAATTTATGTTGTAATTACAGTTTATTTAGCAATACAAAAGAATTATTAAAAAAAAAGAATTATTAGTTATGGGTGTGGAGGGAGGCAAGGTTTTAAAAAAAAGAATCCTCGGGAGCCTAGGTGGCTCCATCAGTTGAGCATCTGCCTTGTGATTTGGCTCAGGTCTTGATCTCATGAGTCATGGGATCAAACTTGCCTCTGGCTCCCCACTCAGCAGGGAGTCTGCTTGGAATTCTCTTTCCCTTTCCTTCTGCCCCTCCCCACATCTGTGCTGCTCCTGCTCTCTCTCCCCCTCTAAAATAAATAAATAGAGCTTAAAAAAAAAATCTGCATCTTTAGTGATAAACATAGAAATATTTATGGATTGATATGTTAATAATTATCACTGGCTTGTGCATATATTATACTTATTACTCCATTCTTTCTGCTTTCATATATGAAAATTGCCAATAATAAAAGTCTTAAAAATCACATCTACTACCAATGTTATTTATAAAGTCCTATCAATACAGTTTTCCTTGGAGAAACTGTCCATGATGTAGCCATACGTATTTGTTCTCTTAAACTTTTCTAATGAAATGATTACATAATCCAACTGCAAAGTTATAAAAATGCAAGACTGGGTGAACTTTCTGTTCTTTGTAAGAATGTACATTACAGAGAGTAGTAACCCTTTCAGGTAGGAAATACATTAAAATTCTATCTCTGCTGTAATTTACAAAATAATAATTCTTGAGAGATAATCTGGTCTGTGAATAAGACCATGGTCTTGATAGCCATACTCCCTGAATTCAAATCCTGGCTCTACCTGGCTCATACTAACTGTGGCAATTATTTATCCTCTCCATGCCACAGTTTCTCAACTGGGGATAATAAATGGGGATAATAATTACACTTATCTCTAGTGTACTGTGAGAATTACATGAATTAATATATATAAAACACTGGTACATAGTAGCAGCTCAATAATAGTTATTATTTTTCTTTTTTCCAAGAGTCTGCTTTGTCACTTTATTTTGCTACAATAGGCTATTTCTTATTTAATGAATTTTAATGTTAATTTATAATGAGAACTCAAATTCTGTTCCAATAATCCTAAAGTGGTAGTAAATACACCAACAGTGCAATGAAGGAATAAAAAAATGACAATGATGCTAAACATTTATAAGTAAAAACAGTATTATTAAAAGTTGTTACTACAAATATTTTTCTGCTGGCACTATAGATATTGTTGCAATGAGTGAAAAAAGAAAGTCAGAAATTATAGACAACAAAGGGAGAGTATAAATACAGTCTCTCAGTCCAAAAACATTCTTTGGACTTCCTCTATAAACCTATAGAATTTCTGAGAAGGGTTAGTACAGAGAAGAAAATCTTTTCCACTTATATTAAAAGAAAAATCTTAGAGAACTATATTTAGCTAAGATATAAGACACTAGAGTTTGTGACCTAAAGTGAAAAATACTGGAATGATTTAACATCTTTTTAAGCCACCAGTCTCATTTTCATCTTTGACTGTCTTAGTCTCACTGCAAATAAAAATTCCATTGTGGGAATATTCAATGTTCCCACATTTTTCCTTATAAAATTATCTGACCCACCTACGTCTTTTTCCATTGCTCTGGCCAGTTCCTGAACAGTCATTCCAATCCATACCTCCACCTCCTTTTTGGATTTTGTTGAAGATAACGGAGGTTTCTGTGATCTTCCTTCCTGTTAAAAATTCAGGACGCAGACAGAAGGAAGAAAAAACTAAGTGACAATAGATTTATTCTGGAGTATCTACCATAATCACAGCTCTGATTCCTACCAACTAATATTCACACAGATAGTTAAACCTTAGACTAAAATTCACAATCTTCCACCTCTAATTCACTATTATATACTGATTTCCAGGTAATCGAATTCATCAGCATTACTAAACAACAAACTAGAACTTCCCTTTTTCACAAAGACTCACTGCCTGGAGTGTAGCATTAAGGAATAAAGATTATGTACATGACAAAACACCCAAAATGGATTTCTACTCATGCCTTAGCACTTTCATTTCAGACCAAATAACAGAGTAACTGACAGAAATCTATAACTACCTTTTTTGTTACTAGAAGCCTATATTGAGATAAAGCTGCCCCAATGACCAGGTCTGTTTGCCAAGGCCAGACGCAGGGCTGAGCTGTCCACACAGGATAAGCAGATGAAAACACATGACTCCACTGTGCTAACATTCTTCTTTGACCCAGGCTGTGCAGCTGCCTAAAGACAGCATGACATCGTAGCAAGTTCTCCAATTTCAGTATCTTCAGGTTCATGTTGCCCCTGGAAAAATTTTTAACATACTATTTTGGTTAATATGAAAATCAAGTTAGCAAATATTAATTGGATATCTACTCCATGAAAAGCACTGTGCCAGAGTTACAACAATAAGTAAAGCTGGGTTCCTGCCCTGAAAGAGCTCACAATCTAATTAGAGAGATGGGATTCCATACTAACTACTCTCTAGATGTTAATTACCATCACCGTTAATGTTCCTACCAGGCCAGAACTGAAATACAACTTACAAAGGGATTTTTTTTTCTTTTTTTATAATTTTAAGATTTTATTTATTTATTCACAGAGACACACACACACAGAGAGAGAGAGAGAGAGAGAGGGAGATAGAGACAGAGGCAGAGGGAGAAGCAGGCTCCATGGAGGGAGCCTGATGCGGGACTGGATCCCAGTTCTCCAGGATCAGACCCTGGGCTGCAAGTGGCGCTAAACTGCTGCGCCACCGGGGCTGCCTAGGATTTTTTTTTTTTTTTTTTCATTCTCGAAACATCAGCTAACCAGATCACTAGAGTGATTTTTCTAAATGCGAACTGAACTCATCAGCTCTTTGTTAAACACCCTGCAGTGGGTGGCCATCACCTCCAGTGTCTAGTGCAACTTCGAATCATGCTATCTAAGGACTCATTACCTGGCTTCTGCAAACCTCTCACTTCATTTCTTACTCATTGTCCCCTCACTCCTATCTCCAAGCTTTTATTATTCTGACTCCCTTGTAATCCCTAATAGTTTGTCATCTAATTTTTGAACCTTTGCATATGCTCTCTTCTTGGAATTCTTTCAACCCTCAATATTCTTCCCTCTTTCCACCTCCCTCTCCCCACCAAAAAGAAGCTTTAGAGTGGGAAGAAGGCACCTAATAAGTATCTATTGAATAATGCCTTTTGAATATTATTCTCGGAATGAAAGAAAAGTTAACTGAAAGGAAACTGCAACAGAACTCAATAGTATTGTCCAGAACTCAAGAGTATAGTCATTTTTCTCCTTGAGTCTTCCTTCTGCTCTCAGGACTGCCATTTCTACAGATTTGCTTTCTTAGCTTCTAAGGAAAGGAGCGACTTAAATAATGTAGATGTGCCCGTTTCCGTCTCAGCAAACACTTCCTGAGTACCACCTTCCAGACATAACATTTGAGAATATGTCGATTCAGAGTTTAATAACCCAGAGTCCCTTCCTTCAGAGTTTACTGTCTCTAAAAAGTTCCAATTTCATGATTCTCAGGCACATGAAACAACTGAAGAATGGCACATTTTAAAAATCTTATTTAGGGCAGCCCCGGTGGCTCAGTGGTTTAGCGCCTGCCTTCCGCCCAGGGCGTGATCCTGGAGACCTGGGATCCAGTCCCATGTCAGGCTCCCTGCTTCTCCCTCTGCCTCTCTCTCTCTCTCTCATGAATAAATAAAATCTTAAAAAAAATTTTTTTTTAAAAAATCTTATTTAGGTACCGGTCCCTGGCCTAACAAGGAAAGGGATTCCTTTAGGGGGGAAAAAAATGTCTTAATGCATCTAAAACCAGATTCAACAAGGGCACGGGTTAATGGAATGCGAGGAGATTAACCAAAGTACAGGCAGGTAACAGGAAGGAATCAGCAAAATAACATTAAGGGCAATAAATCCAGGTGTGAGAACGGGAAGGAACCTTACTTGCTACTTATTCCAAGCTCCTCATTTTACAGAAAAGGAAGCCGGTTTCTCCGATGTCACACCACCAGCTAATGACAGGTCTGGAGGCCAAGCTGTCTGACCCCCGGGTCTTTCGCAGACAGGATTTCCTTATCACGGACTCTGAACAGAGATGCGGGCAACACTCGGCGGCGTCGGTGGGCTCTGTCAGCCTTGGAATTTACCTGGAAGGTAAAAGGGAGTCATGGTAGAAAAAAATGACTGGTGTGGCTTGGCCTCGAACCCGGGTCCCGGGGGCCGCGGGGCGAACACGGCGCCCGCCACGCCTGCGCGGGGCTCGCGGGGATCACACGCACCGCCGACAGGCTTCCGGGGGCTCGCTGTGTACAGGCGGTGCCACTGCCACTCCAGGCCAAACAAAAGACGCCCTCCCGGGGCCGACCCGGCAAACGGACCGCACTCACCTGGCGGCCGCCTCCGGCGCTGAGCGTCCGGATTCAGGAGCAAGGCGGAGAGATCACCTTGCGGCGCCGGGATGCTGCCCGTCAGTCCGTCCCCGAAACGGTCCCCCTCGGACTTCCGGTGCCGCCGGAAGCGGTCCTCCCCGGAATTCGGACGGCGGAGTCCCAAGGAGCTGCGGCGGCCAGAACTGGGGCGGGGGGCGGGAGGCGGGAGGCGGTGGGTGCGCGTTGCAGCTGCGTCCGCGGGGTCCGCCGCGGGTCGGGGCGCCTCTGCAACCCCCCCCTTCCTGGGAGGTCACTTACTGCCGCCGGGGCGGGCTGGAGCCGCCTTGATGCTGAAATGTGAGGGAGGGGATCGCTAGGCTTTTCAAAGACGCGTGCCCAAGGAGGGGGAGATGTTTTCCAAATTACCCGAGCGGAACCCTTCATCACTGTCAAGGTCATGGGAAACGAGAAAAGACCGTGACAGATCAGAAGGGACTAAGGAGACACGATCACCGTATGCGACGTGGAATGCTGCTTGCAATCCTGGAACAGAAACGCACATTAGCGGAAAAACTGCGATCCGAGTCCAGCGTGCGGGAGGCTTAGCTGTGATGCCCGGTGTGAGCTGCTTCAGCTTGCACCGGTGTAGGCATTAGGCAGGGCGCGGTGCCGGGCGCTTGGGAAGTCTCTATTCTCTCTGCGGCTTTTCTAGGATCTAAATTTATCCCAAAATTTAAAGCCTATTTTTTTAAAAAAAAAAAAAAAAAGGAAGCGAATGAAATCCTAAATCCCACCTATTCAGAGTTAATCCCTTTTAGTATTTTGGTGAACATCAAAACAATGTCGGGGCACCTGGGTGTGAGCCAGCTGGTTAAGCTGGTGGGATCCTTCCTTTTGGCTCGGGTCATGATCTCAGGATCATGAGACCAAGTCCCACCTCACGGTCTGCCCTCAGCAAGGAGTCTGCTGGAGATGCCCGCCCTCTGCCCCCCCCTTCTGTCATGTGCACTCATGTTCTCTCTAATATAAATAAATGAATTTAAAAAAATAAAGTGGGGGGATCCCTGGGTGGCGCAGCGGTTTGGCGCCTGCCTTTGGCTCAGGGCGCGATCCTGGAGACCCGGGATCGAATCCCACGTCGGGCTCGCGGTGCATGGAGCCTGCTTCTCCCTCTGCCTGTGTGTGTCTCTCTCTCTCTCTCTCTCTCTCTCTCTCTCTCTCTCTCTGTGACTATCATAAATGAATAAAAATTTAAAAAAAAATAAAGTGTACAGTGTGATGATCTGATATACATACATGTTGTGAAAGTATCCCCCTTGCATTGAATTGACACATCCATCACCTCACAGATTTACTTATGTATTTATTTTTGTTGTTGTCGGGAACATTTAAGTTCCACTCTTAGCAGATTTCAGTTACACAACAGAGGATTATATACTAGAACCACATTGTCATACATTAGATCTTGCTTATCTTGGTATGTTTGCACTCTCTTCCCAACCTACGTTTCTTACTCCTACATTCTTGTTCTCTTTCTCCAATTAGTATGAAGACTTTTGTTTTTTTTGTTTTGGTTTTTTTTGGGGGGGTGTTTTTTTGTGTGTGTTTTTTTGTTGTTTTTTTGTTTTTTGTTTTGTTTTTTTTTTTTTTTTTTTTTTGTATGAAGACTTTGAATAAGATACTTGACCTTTCTGGTAGATCAATATTGTCATTGCCAAATTAAGAAGGTTAAACTCTTAGAGTGTTATTTTTAAAGAGCTTAAAGATATTAAATAAATATAAAGTGATCATGTGTCTGAAGATGTATTCTCATTAACAAGGGACCCAACAAGATCGTAAGCCTCATCCAAGGAGAATTGGGGAGCGCCAGGTATTTACAGTGGCTGAAAGAATGAATGCTTGAACAAGCTTGCTAATATAGATACAAAATTGGTTAATATTCTCTAGCACAACAAAGCTGTAACTTTTGGGGTTACCTTTTCTATAAGGACAAAAATCATTTGCACCTCTATGAGACTAAATTCATTTACATTACTATCATTTGTATTACTATACATTAAGATCTACCCTCATAGAGTTGTATAATACCTGGATGCTAAAAAATAGTAAATATGAAGTCAAAAAAAGTGAGCATTCCTAGAGAATCAGAGACTCCCCGAGAATGCATGTGAAAGAAAACCCAGCAGGACCCCAGCAGGGCAAACACATCCCTTTGTTTATTTCCAGGTTTTGGATATTTTTTTAATATTTTTTTAAATTGTTATTTATTTATGAGAGAGAGAGAGAGAGAGAGAGAGAGAGAGAGAGAGAGAGAGGCAGAGACACAGGCAAAGGGAGAAGCAGGCTCCATGCACCGGGAGCCCGATGTGGGATTCGATCCCGGGTCTCCAGGATCGCGCCCTGGGCCAAAGGCAGGCGCCAAACCGCGGCGCCACCCAGGGATCCCTGGATAATTTTTCTTAACAGAACTAAAAGTCCTATAAATTTTAAAACAAAGCTTCCTTAGAACCTTCCAATTATAAATGAGTATTTAAAGTGAACAAAAAGGAGATATGCTACTTCGATGCTTAGCCAACTGTCATCTACTCCATGCATTTTGTTTACGTTGTATGAAACCAATATTTTTCCAGGGAAGAAAACTGAATGTTTTCTCCCATTTCATATTTTAATTTGAAGGTTATTAAATTCAGTCTGCCCACTTATTAATTTTTTTACATTTTAGCTTTCTTCTCTTTTGAAGTCTTTGTTGAAAATACCCTCATATAATCTGTCTTATTTATGGAGACATGGTTTGCATTTCTTTATTTTTAATAGCTTAGCAATTCCCTCCTCCATTATAAAAATACATAGAAATTTTCAGAAGATAGAAAATACAAAGAAATTTTTTTACAATACTCACAGTTCCATTTTAAGAAATGTATTTTTAACAGGTGAGAATTTTAGTTCCCAGCTCTAGTGTGTAGGAACTGGAGCCATGACCCCACTCCCCTTGCTTGTTGAATGCCAACCACACTGACTGTCTTTCAAAGTCTCTTCCTTGATTTGCTTCCTTCCACCCTTGCACACAGTGTCACACTATTTCCTTTCTGCCTGGTTCACTCTTCTCTCCTCTCTCTGCCCTCATAATATCCTACTCATCTTTCAGATCTCAGTTTGCTTCACTTCTTCAGAGAGGCCTTCCTTGACTCGTTCCTCCTCCCTCCAGACTAATAGACTTTCCTGGCATTGCATAGTATCCTGCTTAGCACTTGCGACCCATGCAATTTAACATTTGTTTCTGTGATTATTTGACTAATTAATATTTATCTCCTGCAATATACTCTTTGCTTGGGTCTCTGTCTGGTTTTGCTCACCACTTTCCATTGAGCCCATAGGTGATCTTCAGTCATATTTTGAGTTGAATATAATATGGCCCATGTCCCCACATGTTGGAGCTGCAAGGAACGTTAACCTGAGGCTGTCAGACTGCGATTTCCTCCCTTCCCCACAGAATCATCCAGGACCCTGAGACTTGGTAGGAGTCAGGGAACTGGACTATGGGGTTATTGTCTTTTTCATCATGGCTCCTCATTGAGCAGTGATGCTCAGATGTACTTGTGCCTCATGACTGCGTAGGCAATGTTGCCCCAGGTAGACTGTCTTCCACTGACAGACGTTCCCATCTTGCTACCCACTGGGGGGATAAAGTGCCAAGAAAAGGACTCCTCTCCACCATCCTATCCTTCCCACTCCAGTCTTCACCTTCTTTTCTGATTCTGAGGAAACTTAAATTTCCTCCTAGATTCAGCTGCTTTCCCTTCTTTATCTTCGGGGTTTCCTCAGCTGGAGCACTCCCTCCCCAACCTCCATCTTCTGATCTGGGAAGAATCCTCTTTCATAGGCTTTTAGAAGAAGCCAATTTTTGTGGGATAGGATTAGGGAAAGATGCTACTACTGTTTAGATTTTTCAGTTACTCTGTTATACAGTTATGTGTATTTTTTTTAAACTTTTTTTTAAATTTTTATTTATTTATGATAGTCACACACACAGAGAGAGAGAGAGAGAGAGGCAGAGACACAGGCAGAGGGAGAAGCAGGCTCCATGCACCGGGAGCCCGATGTGGGATTCGATCCCGGGTCTCCAGGATCGCGCCCTGGGCCAAAGGCAGGCGCCAAACCGCTGCGCCACCCAGGGATCCCGCTATGTGTATTTTGAAGCAAAATTGGGGCTGTGTTGTCTATCCTCTCTTATAATTCATTTTCTCCATTTACTAAATTGTGTTTCCCTATATTTTCAAATATTGAGAGCATGATTGAGAATATAGAATTCCCTAGAAAGATGTCATCTAATTTATTTAACATGGCCATTGGTGATGGGGCATTCCTGGTTCCTTAGTGTAGCAGGTACAATTCTTTGTGCCTACTTCTAGTCTTGTGTTCTGCTGACAGACCTCTCATCCTGCTCTACTGTCACACCAAATCATACTGCCCCAGGACATACTATGCTTTTTCACCTCCACCTCTCAACTCCTGGGGTTTCCTCAGCTGGAGAACTCCCTCCCCATCTGGTAGAGTCCTTATTCTTCAAACTGGTGCCATTTCCCCGTAATGCTTTTCTTAATGCACCAACCCAGGCCTAACACCCTTCTTCTGGGCTCCTAAAGCATCCACATCATGTCACTATTGTTGCAGCACATTTTCTTGGATTTATCCTTTGTGAATATTTCAGTCCTCTTTGCTAGATTTTAGGGTCTTTGAGGGCAAAAAATGTGGTATATAGAGATGTTCCATAAGATAGGCTGAGGAGACACAGATTACGGAGAGCACTTTTTCCCTATTGTTTCACTTGCTTGGGGGTATGTACAGCTTCTTAGGATGGTTTTCAATTTACCTGTTCTGGAATTTGTTACATTCATAATGGGGATTTCTGACATTCTTCATCTAATAAATGCAATGTTGCCCAATCCCCACGATGTTGATAAATGTTTTGGCCTTTTTATTTCCTTTACCAGGTAGGCTACAGTTATAACTGTTTCTTTTACTTTGAGCAGACTTAGATGAGGATCCCAGGTTTCATGCATCCTGGCATGTTCCGTCCTGCCATTTTCCAGCTCTCTTTTCCAGATTCCATCCTTTTCTGGCAAATAACCATACTCTTCCTAATGATAACAAGAATCTTTCCCTCAATACATTCTTGTAGACATGCCACAAAACTGCTTGCTTAAGTTTTTTCCTGTTTGTAAAACAATTCAGTAAAGCGTATTTATCATGCTCTCTCTCTCCTAGAATTGTGAGATTTCTATAACTTTTTTTAAATTCAAGTTCTGCGACTAAATATCTAGTTCAAGCTCATGCTGATCATTTTGAATTTAATGTTTCTTTTTTTTTTAAATATTTTTTTTAATTTTTTTTATTTATGATAGTCACAGAGAGAGAGAGGCAGAGACACAGGCAGAGGGAGAAGCAGGCTCCATGCACCGGGAGCCCGATGTGGGATTCGATCCCGGGTCTCCAGGATCCGCCCTGGGCCAAAGGCAGGCGCCAAACCGCTGCGCCACCCAGGGATCCCGAATTTAATGTTTCATGTTGTTTCCAGTGTTAATCTGAGATTGTATTTGCCCTGAAGACAAAGGACTATGCCAAGGGTAGATACCGTTTCTTTTGTATTTAGTACAACGTTGACATACATGCTCGATAAATATTGCATTAAACTTGGGTTAGGATAGTTTTTAAACAGTGGTAGGGGGCAGCCCGTGTGGCTCAGCGGTTTAGTGCCGCCTTCGGCCCAGGGTGTGATCCTCGAGACCCTGGATCGAGTCCCGGCTCCCTGCGTGGAGCCTGCTTCTGCCTCTGCCTGTATCTCTGCTTCTATCCCTCTGTGTCTCTCATGAACAAATAAATGGAATCTTTAAAAAAATAAAATAAAATAAGCAGTGATAGGTTCTCTCACCATAGATTTAGTTCCATTTTATTATAAAAACCTTTGGTCTTAAGACTTGCTTAGAGCAGGATACTTGGTCATTCTATCACAGGTAGACACAGGTAGATATTAGTGTCAGCCACGTGGGGAAAGGAAGGTAGTTTGGGCTGGGGTGGTGGAGGTGGTAAGTGGAAGGATTTGAGAAACTGTGATGGATTAGTTATAGGGTGTGTGTGTGTGTGTGTGGTGTGCTGGGGCGGAGGGGATGAGAATTCATGCTTTGAATAATTGATGGCAGTTAATCTCCAAAAGATTTCTAGGTCAGAGGACTCAACTGCCTAGACAATATGCAGATGCCGCCGCTGCCAGTTTGGGCTCTTTGCATTCCTCTTTTGTAGCTGTCGTGAAGATCCTACGCTGGGTTAATGTCTTCATACTTTTGCACACTTAACCTTTCTTGGTTACAACCAGATTCCAATTCTTCTTTCCCCCGTTTACTCTCAGTTCACCATGACCGGATTTGGGTTTTCTTGAACATCCTCAAATATTTAAGGACAGTTATTTAGGATATGTAGCATCTTCAAGTGGGTGATCTTTGCTATTCCAACGCTTTCTAGTTTCATTTTTGGAAAACCTGGAGAAAAAAGGGATGACTGGGGGGTTTCACAGGAGAATAGAAAACCTCCGCCAAGAGGTAGGCACACCGCCTCTTGGAAAAGGGGACTTGTGGTTGCCACTGTTATTTGTAGATGAATAATAATAATAATAGTTATTTGTAGATGAATAATAAAAGGTAACCTTCCGAAAAGGTCACATGTAAAATCCTAATTTATAAGTTACAAGTTGAAAAGTCATAAAAGAATAGGCATTTTGGCCCCCTCCCCCTGCCCTCTCCCTGTTGGTTCGAGGACCTCGGAGGTTCCCCGGGGAACATCTCAAACCTCGCACGCGGCAGAGCCGGGGAAAGCCTGGGAGGAAGGCCGCCCGCTCCCTAGGCCTCCTGGCAAGTTCCACAGCCACGGAAGTCGCAGGAGGCGCGCCTTGGGGGGCCCCCACCTCCGCATGCACCTGCCGGGATCCTGAGCTCGTGCAGAGGCCTCGAGGGGTTTCAACAACACAGGACTCTCAAGGCAATGCCCTTCGAGTGGCTCCCGGCACAGGCGCAGGGGCCGAAGGACGCGTCAAGGGCAGGGGGAGGGGCAAGGAGCTCGTGTGCCCGGGCCTGCCGGGGGTCCCATCCTCTCCAGGACCTACGGCAACACTCCCTATGCTTAATCCCTCAGGCGGCCCTGATCGGTTTACACGGCAGCTACCGGGAGCCTGGGGAGCCGGAAGCGGGGTGGGGGAGGCAATGAGGAAGCACGTGGCTTCCGCCCGTGGAACGCGCGCGAACCACCCCCGAAGCCTTCCCGCCGGGCAATCTCCGCAGACGACTTCCGGGGAGGCGACGGGAGGTCGGGGAGGAGCGAGGGGAGAGCCCGCCTCCGGAAGGCGCCGCCCGGACTTCCGGGTACTTCCCCCGCCCGCCCCCCTCGGCCTCCCGGAAGCCCCGCCCACCCGGCCGCTGCCCCGCTCAGTCTGCGCGGGCCACGGCGGCGGCATGGCTGGCGCGGACTTGCGGGCGGCGCTGGAGCAGCGGCTCGGCGCCCTGGCCATCCGTACGGAGGTCGTGGAGCACCCGGAGGTGAGACGCTGCTGCTGGAGGGGTGGGCTCCGCTGCGGCGGCCTCGGGCGGGGCCGTAACGTGCCGCAGAGACGTGGGGTCCAGCACAGTCCCCGGGCTCCAGAGCCCAGCAGGGACCCGACGGAGCATCGGAGGCCTTTCGGGACTGTGACGTTGTTGCGGGAAAACTGGACGTTTTCCTCCTGGAGCGATTTGGTCCCATTTCGTCTTGACGCGCTTTGACATCTTACACTGGTCAGTGTGCCCGCTCTTCGGTGTGGGTCAGGTACCAGGCCTGGGCCGTCCCCGTGGGGTCAGCGTGACCTGGGGACTTGCACCGCACACGGGCCCCGCTAACGGTAATAGCGAGCTGTGGTCATCCTCGCAGGGTGGACGCCGTGAACGCCTTCAGCTTTACGGATCTAACATCAAGACGACATCGCCTCCTAGGACCGTCGTCCCCACTGCGTGGTTCACCTACTCTCCGCCGCCTTCCCTGTGCACGTGGTGGCCCGCAGCCCAGGGCCCGCACCCCTGCCCGCTCGCCCTCGTGGTCAGAGGGGTGTGGAGGTTGTCCCGTGGTCTGGGTGTAACGGAATAGTAAGGAATAGGAATCTGGGTTGCTATGAATTTTCAGTACCAATAGCTTAAAGAAACAAAACAAAACAAAACCCCAAACCCCACTGTAGGAGTAGGAGTGCTTGGCCAGGACACTGGCCTCAGAGGCCTTGAGATGAAGGACTGCCAGGGCCAGGCGGATTACTTCGTAATGGACTGGGAACGGGTCCCCCCAGCGACATCCACCGCACTGAGCAAGCGGAGCACATGCATATTTTGAAACTTTTCATGTGATCTTTTACAGGTGTTTACAGTTGAAGAAATGATGCCTCATATCCAGCATTTGAAAGGAGCACATAGTAAGAACTTATTTCTTAAAGACAAGAAGAAAAAAGGCTATTGGCTGGTGACTGTTCTTCATGATAGACAAATTAATTTAAATGATCTTGCCAAGCAGTTAGGTGTTGGGAGTGGAAATCTTCGGTTTGCTGATGAAACAGCCATGCTAGACAAACTGAAAGTTGGCCAAGGCTGTGCCACACCTTTGGCACTCTTCTGTGATGATGGAGATGTGAAATTTGTTCTGGATTCAGCTTTTTTGGAAGGTGGACACGAAAAGGTGTACTTTCATCCAATGACCAATTCTGCAACCATGGGATTGAGCCCTGAAGACTTTCTCACATTTGTGAAAAAGACAGGACATGATCCCATAATACTACGTTTTGATGAAAACAACTAATTGGGCTGAAATTTAGGATACATTCATTTCTGAAAGTGATTTTCTTACTCGCAATTTTTAAAAAGCATTAAAAGTGATAATATTTAGTACCTGGGTTTGGTGACTAAATCATTTTAAGAGGAACACTTCCTTTCAAAGGAACTGCTTTTTATTATTATTATTATTACTTTTTAAGTAATCTTTACACCAATGTAGGGCTCAAACTCACAACCTTGAGATCCAGAGTCACATGTTCAACTGACTGAGCCAGTCAGGTACCCTATAAAGGGCTGCTTTTAAAAAGACACTGAGGTAGTTTGAGTTCAGAGCCAATACTCACTATAGGAATGCTTTCAACAAATAAGAGATTAACAGGGGATCCCTGGGTGGCTCAGTGGTTTGGCGCCTGGCTTTGGCTCAGGGCCCGATTCTGGAGTCCCGGGATTGAGTCCTGCGTTGGGCTCCCTGCAGGGAGCCTGTTTCTCCCACTGCCTGTGTCTCTGCCCCTCTCTCTCTATGTCTGTTATGAATGAATGCATAAATAAAAAATCTTTTTTTAAAAAAAGAGTAGATTAACAACAAAACTGAGGCTAGCTAAGATTAACTATCTTACATCTTCTTTAGGGTGTTTACTGTACTTAAAAAAAGCAACTTCCAAAAATCCCATGTCTACAATTACACTTATATTGTACATAGAGGGGGGGAAAAGGAATATAGGAATATATTAAATTATTGATAGTGGTTATCGTTGGAGAGTGAGATTAAAGAAAGACTTGTTTAATCTTTTTCAGAGGTGAAAAAGGTGAACAAACGTGGAAAAACTTTTCTGTCCTGTAGAGTATATGAAATTTTACTCATCCCCCCCCCCGCCCTTCAATTATGGCATCTGATACAGTATAAGAACTCAGGATTATGGATTGTCAGCACTATAGAAGCTAGTTCATAATTGTGTAGTGAGAAACATACTTTTTCGGTTAAATTAAAGCCTTCATTAGTTGAGGGTCTAGACTACACTACAGAAGTATCTAGAAATCTAGTCATGAAAATACTCATTTTCTTACAGTACAATCAAATGGAATAGTGAGGTAACCATTTTTTCCTGTTTGTTTACTCAAAAGTAACTTCCATCTGGTAGTGATAGTGTAGCCAATTTGTTACAAAAGGCAGAGTAAGTAAAAACTTGTCATTTCTTGATATATAGGAGTAGAAACTACAAGTCTACTCATGACAATTTCTATAAAGAATTTAAGTGATGTGAAATTAGTAAGATTTTCCATAAATGATAACATTCTAAGATGCCACGTTACTTTTTACCTGCTGTTTACTACCTCTCTAGGAGGAAAATTTAGGTTGCTTTGAACATAAAATGAAAGTTTAATGAATAGAATCAAAGACACTGAGGATAGTAGACAGTGCCCTTCCCATCTTCTACTGAAAACAGGCTCCGAGAGACTAACCTGCCCAAGAATACACAGCTGTTTGCCTCGAACATTCTGCCTCCCAAAGGCTATAAATGAAAATGAAAGACACTGCTTTGTGCAATATATTATTGTATTTAAACCTATATGGGATTGACAGAACTGAGAGTCCATTCTTTTCCCAAACTTCCAATACTTAATCTCTAAAAGATTTAGACAGAATCATCTCAACAATGTTATAGGTTATGTCTGAAAGAAGGTTTCCAGGTCAAAGGGAAAGGCTAAAGATAATATTTAGGTAAATTATATGTTACACTTTTTAAATGATTAGCCACTTGTTATAAAAATCACCTGTTTTATTTCTTTTTATATCAATCAGTTTAAGTGAATGTTAAGCCAACTTAATTTTTTTAGGAGTAATAAAGTTAAACTAAAATGAAAAATGAAATGTTTTTAAAAAGACAAATCAACCAAATGATGGTTTGTTACGAACTGGATTCCTGTGGCTGACAACAGGTATTACCAAGAAATCATCACTGCTATTCAACTCCAAATCCCTCAGTAGCATTACTTTTAAAGGAAATGTTACAGCTTTTATATTATTTGATTTGGTATTTAATAACAATTATAAGTACAACGGCAAACATTGAAAGAGAACCCTTAGAAAAGAAAAAGACAATTTAAAATCAGGTTTTGTTAAAGGGTGTTGTAAGTGCAACTTTATCCATAAGCATTCCTTTTAAGGCATTTTCACTCTTGTCCAAATATCTCAACATGTACATCAAGGTTTATATCACAAAATGGGCTCCTTTTGTATTACTCATTCAAGGCTTAAAGAAAAAATACATCTCAGGACTAAGTGTAGCAGAAAAGAAAAACACAAGAATTCACTTTTCTCATAAAAGTAACTTAAAATACAAAGTCATTGAGCATACATTATTACTCCTCATTGTAATTCCAGATTTGGTACAGTATCTTTTTTACTTCCTGACATAAACTGTTAAGACAGTGCAGGCTGTAATACTTCATTTGTGAGGTGGCTGCAATTCCATAGTATGCACAGTGATTTTTTTTTTTTAATAGGCTCTTACCATGCCTTGCATGAAAGGTGCTACATACAAACCTGTTACATGAACTCTTTGGTAACCACCAGTTCAAAAACATGGACCAAACCTTTCCACATGGTCAGATCTGAAGCACTTTGTTGGAGCTCTTTGCTGAAGCTATTACCCTGTATATTAATTCTTCAGTTTCCTAGGGGGTTAGGTGTTGATTTAGAAGACAGCCAGACAAAAAGCATGTCAGGCCCTAGTCAGGAAAGTGGCCCAGTAGGTTCCTAGGTAACCATACAATTTTGTTTGGCAGAAGCAGTTTACCTTAAGGGAAAGGAGTGACTTCCTACTAAGTTTGCTTCTCAATCTTTTGGAGAATGTAAAATATTCATGAGGTTATTATCTAGTCCTTTCTTGAAATGGTATGGAAAAGGTGATGAATATAATTGAGAATATTCCTACTTTTGCTGTCTCGAGTGTTCCCTTGGTTGTCTCTAACTGCACTTTCTCAAGGTCAGCCTCCTCATCCTCAGACTCAATACTATATAGGCCACCCCTAAACATGTTCTGTGTGAAGCAATAATGTGCTGCTTAAGTCAACAGGTTCTCTATTTTAGGACATTAGTGTTCTGGAGAGGTCAAGGTGTGGTATGAGTCACCCTTACTGGGCCACTTCCTATTCATTAAATTCCAACTTTCAGTAACTGTCCTGGGATGTGTCCTAGTTGTGCAAATTAGATGCTAGTTAATATAAATCTAAGTTACCCACTTACTGTATTTAGCTAAAACATAACTTCTATATTTACTTTCAATTTACCCACCTAAAAATGAATTTACATTTTTTACATGCAAGTATCTCCAGACTGCCATGATGCCCATTATCAATTTGATACTTGAATCTGGGGAGTCACAATGGAGAGAGATGTTTCAAAGTCTAGAGAATACGTTTAAAATATGTCTGTTGTGCAATAGTTGTATTTTAGTAAGAATCCTTTGTATTTACATTTACATAGCACCTTTCATCCAAGAATTTAAAAATGATTTAATTTTACAGCATTATTTGGCGGCAAAACCTAAGTTAATGGTGGCATTAAGTTAAGTAAGTCCAAGTTCTCTAAATTCCTTTTTAATTTCTGGTCAACTATACATGCGGTCTTTCTTTTCATTAATAGTCTTTCTGAAAGTAGACTCTGAACACAATACTGCTAACTGGCCTACCAAAAAGAGAGAAGGAGAGGGAGAGAGGGAAAGGGGAGAGGAGAGAAAGAGGGAAGGGAGGCAGGGAGAGAGACACACACATTTCTCAGGGCTACTAGGTTAGTGATGAAACATAGTTCCTAAACCACACACTACGAATATGGAATTATTCCAAAAAGATTTTTAGAGCTGGTAATGAGAGCCTAAGAAGTATACTGTTAAAATAAAAAAGTCATTTTCTTTCTGACTTCAGACCTTTAAGATTATTCTGATATTTATGTTAAATAATGAATTTGCATTAATAAGTATCAATGCATTTTTGATTTCATAAGAAAATAAAACTGTGATATAAAATTGAAGCTACAAAAAAACTGATGTTTCCCTGGGTTAACTAAATCTACTTTTTTTGTGCTTCTTTCAAATGTTTAAGTTTAACAAATGCATACAAATATTTCAAAAGTACCAATAACAGTTACCAACTTTAATGTAATATTATAAAGGACGAAAACAGAAAATTTCTTATTAATACGTGATAACCTTAAAAATAAATGAGTTCTTGGCAAAATGCAGATCATAGTAAATTATTTACACTTTTTTTTTTTTGCCATAAGAAAACTTCTTAAGCAACAGTCAGCTCTCATGTAAAAAACAAACACACATACATAACCCAATATTAAAGAAGGGAAATGAATTTAAACACAACAGCATTATCTTGGGAATGTGATTTGCTGGAAAACCACCTTACTAAAAAAGTTTCAGAAAAACACTCTTTTTAATTATCTTGGATCCATGTGTGAATGCTTAGTGTTGCTTAATAGGGAATACAGAAAGATTAATATTACTGTAAATTTTTTATAGCTCCTATTTTTCAGATTTATCTTATAAACTGAATTTCTTTTGCAGTGCATCAAAATAATTGGTTAAAAAAAAAAGAAAGAATACCAACACATGCAGTCTGCTAACCAAATAAGGCTCTGACATGCCAAAACAATGTTCTCTGTATCTTGATATATAGTACATTCCACAACATACTACAGCATTTAATTTAGATTTACACAACTAAATATAAATGGCTAGAATTTGGCTAATACTTAGCAGAAGCATTAAGCAAACATGGATAAATTCATAAACAAATGACGAAAGAAGTAGATTGTTCTTGGAGTACTTCTTGAAATCCTAATACACTTGGTCCTTAGTGAGAGAACATCCTTTATTCGGTAGATCTTAACAATGTATAGTAAGTCCTAAAACCTTCTAAAAATTTTGGCAGTTGACTCCAGTAGTGCTCCTTGATTCAAGGAAGGAATGAAGGTTTTGTATTTCTTGCCTGCTCTAGTCACGAAGGATTGTTTAAAGTCTCCTTAAAGATTTTTAAAATGATTCCTATAGTTGGGTGTCTTGTTACTTCAGAAATAAAGGCTTCACACTGAGAAACTGAAGGAC